TGATGTTTCTATAAAGATGACAAACAACAGTTCCCACAGTTACCAAACCAGGCTCCAGGTTTACAGCAGACCACCTCACCTTTTCTGTCATTTCCCCACTAATCCCCCAAAAACTCTCTCCTGTTGCTGTGGCCAGGGCCAAAGACATCCTACAGTTTCTGTTGTGACTTATGATTGAGTGCAGATTTTTATATTATAATGTTTAAGAGCTAAATCACATAAAAACCAATAGCCAGAGGGCACTCAGTTGTGTTCAATGTCAGTATTGACCCAGCCGATCCACTAAAGTGTACCATGGCTGCAGGTCTGCCTGGGCAGCACAGGCTTGACCTGCTTTCTGACTGGCAACAGTCCAGTTAAAGTCTCAGCTCTTATAATAAGTTGATCCACCTGTGGTGTCTGTGCCGCCGACGGAAGAAAGTCCACAAATCTGAGAAGGAAAAAATAGCACAACCTGTACAGTGTCAGTAAGAGTGTGTCCCGTTAGAAGAAGAAGAAGAAGAAGAAGAAAAAGAAGAAGAAGAAGAAGTAAGGAGTTAGAGAAGAAGAAGAAGAAGAAGAAGTAAGGAGTTGGTGTTGGCTGTAGGAACACCACTTCTCTCTCTCTAAATATTTGGTTTATTGCTGTGTTTTTATCACATACTGAAGGCAGTGGCATCTAAAATGAAATCCAACTCCCAGAGCCAAGATGCATTTCTAGTTCACCTGTAAATATGTTTAAGACTTGCATTACTAAAGAAGAACATTTACTAAAATTGCAGTGTTAAACTTAACCACCAGAGAGCATCATAACCTGAAGCTATAGCTCTGACTGTTGAACTGCTATAGGAACGTTTCCTCCTTTGTAGTCAGTTTAAAATGATTTTGACATGATTTCAATATTTGCCTGCAGTTTGGCAGATTGTCTTCACCGTTGTCAGAACAGTCTGAGTGGAAGTTGAAATGACATGTCACAAGAAAGTAGTCTCATGTCAGAGACTGACACTGAGTACTTGAACAGGAAGCTCAACTTTCTGTGGTTAGCTGAGCATTTGCTGTGCACTTTGCTGCATACAGGAAGCTGCAAGTGTCACTCACTGCTGACTGCTCACTGCCTGAAACATTTGCTCGGTCTGAGAGCAACACACGTCAAAGAATTTGTGTCAAAGATGGCTCAGGGAAAGGAGCAATCCTTCGCCAGCCGTTTATTTCAGAAGTATTGCAAAGGCAGCCAAGAGCAGAGAGGACAGGAAAGTGATGTGCCTCACATCTCTGAGTTCACTCTCATGTGGGACAAGTCCAGTAAGTGCACGTTGATTTTACACTTGCAGAATGAGCACTAACCTTTGTGTAACTGGAGGCAGAGGTGTCCTCGGTTCATATATGTTGCTCCTGTTGGTGCACTAACCTTTGTGTAACTGGAGGCAGAAGTGTCCTCGGTTCATATATGAGCGGTGTGTTGTTTGAGATTTGAAGACACAGGAAGCCTTTATCTTCTACAGCTGACGTGCACTCATTAACTTTAGTAAAGGGGCTCTGTTTGCTTGAAATGCTTTTATCATTGATTCTCACCGTCCTGTCATTTCTGTTATTTGTAATTTCAGTATGAAACACTGCATTTTATGTGCTTTTTACAGTGCTAGTTGAATAACTGTGTGTTTTTTGGGATGAATCGTTGTTGGTAAAAAAATACAGAGCTGTGACAGAGAGGTGTGTTTGACCCCAGCACCTTCAAATGACAGTAGAATAAAAACTATTACCACCAGTAAAGTTACCAGCGTAACATTGTCAGATGAGTATTTTCTGCGATGATTAATGTCTTCAATGTTTCACTTTGTTGTGTGTTGCATTAAATCCATGTTAACGTGATATGTTCTTGTTTTCAACACTTCACAAATGTTTCTTTCTCTCTTTCTCTTCTCCGTCATTTCCATCCATGTGGGTGAATGTTCCTGCAAACCCTTGGTGAACTGTAGAGACTTTTGGTACGATCATTTCCCCATGGGCTGTCCTAAATCACAGAGCAGAAGTGTATCCTGTGAATATGACAGCGTTGAACAACTCACATACACAAACGTATTTAATGGTTCGTCATTCGGCCACCGGCCGCTTGAACGGCTCTGTGATTTTGGACGTCTCATGTCTGCTGTGACTTTTACTGTGCCTGCACCGAGTCTGTTGTGTTGTCTGTCTGTCCTTCGTTCCACTGACACTCCCCTCTAAAAGAGATGCACCACAGCTTTATTGAAATTGGCCAGTTGTGAAAATATTGCAACAGCTTTCTTGCATCACTTTATGAAAAGAAAAAAACCTTTTATTGTAAATAAATGCCTTCTCTCACACTCGCTGTCAATCCCCCGTTCCCCAGAGTGCACTTGTGTCCCTGTGTGTTTAGGCTTCCTTTGTTTTGATTCCTAAAGGAGTTTTTGACCCAAGTTGACCTCTGTCACCCTTTGGTTTGTGCTGAGTCTCTTAATGCTGATCAGATTTGTGATGTTGTTGCAGTGAAAGAGTTCTTAGCTAAAGCCAAAGACGACTTTTTAAGAAAATGGGACTGTCCACAACAGGTGAGATTTGTTTTTTATGCACTTTGTTAAAAATGTTTTAAACAACAGGTGAGATTTGTTTTTTATGCATTTTGTTAAAAATGTTTTAACTACATACTTCCTTTCTACAGTTGTTAAAGGAAATGTAGGGAACCAGAAGTTTAGAAAGCTTGTTTGTTTTTTTGTTTTTTTGTAGACACCTCCCAGGTACTGGAAGTTCTAACTACCATATTTGAATTTTATTTCATTTTTTAAATTCACTACTTGACTCAGAAGAGAGTGTTTTTGAGAATGAGCTCCTGGTTGTCTCCATTTTCATATCAGTAAAGAAAGATGCTGCAGAAAAGGATGATACAGTGATATAGTATAGAATCACCTGATACGTTGCTCAGTACTCTGTGTTTGTTCCAGGTCTGTGGTACTTTTTATCTTTGTCAAAACAACTTATTTTTCCTTAATGTATTGCTTGTGAGAGTAATAAAAAGTAACGTTTAATTCTACCTTTCCACTTCAAGCTCCAGGAAGACAAATTCTGATACTTTTTATTTAGTCAAATCTTATCTTTGGTGCAAAAATCATAGTCATCTTTGATGATTTTCTGCAGAGCACAACTGGCCTAGACGACTTTGACAGATTTAAGACGTTGGGGACGGGCTCATTCGGGCGAGTGATGCTTGTCAAACATAAAGGAACAAACCAGTTTTATGCCATGAAGTTTTTGGACAAACAAAAAGTAAGTGTACAGTGTGTTTGAAGAAGAAGACGTTGAACTATTCTCTCTGTTTGACAGGGACTCTAATTGCATAAATGCAGTATTTCAAAGGAAATGTTCCATTTCCTCTTACGTGCTGCTGCTGAGCTATCTAAAAGGCCTCAGAGGTGCTTGATTAGAGTTTCGATCTCTAAATACCACTGTGAGAGTTGAGGGGGGAGGTTAGCATGGCCGGAGAGCAGTGAGAGTGAAGTCCTTAAAAGACATTTATGAGCTCTTGTAGTTTTACTGCTCCAGTGACAAAGGACTGTTATTTTTCCAGGGAAACACTGTCCTTGTGGTAACTTATTTTTAGTTGTTTATAATCTGAACTTCTTCATTTGCTCAGGAGTTTAGTTGTCTTACAACTGCTGTCAATAAGTAGTTGGTAAAACCTCTGTTGTAAACCACTCTGAGTTTATATCAGGACAAGGAAAAAGGTCTTTAATACAGAATGTTTGCTTGTATCTATTTGTGGCCTGGTTTGAAATGCAAATCATTAAAACAAAAACAAAAAAACCAACAATCAGCTGTTGTGGCAGTATCATGCTAATTTGGTCTTCTGGTACTCTACTCTATAACTACTCTACTCTATACTCTAACTATAACTAACAACCTGAAGGTCGCTCCAGTCACAGAAGTCACTGGACGAACTGTGGCCAGGTCAGATGTAACGTTGTCCTACATCCAGTGAGTGTGTGAGAGTCGCATCATTTCCTGTGTGAATACTTACTGTATCAGGAACTCCCCCCTCACATACAGAGTCCGGTGCTTACAGCGAAGTAATGTTCAACATTTGCATTTGATTGCAGTTCTGTCGCTCTTTGTGTCGTTGTGTTGAGGTAAACGCAGCGTAAAGAACCAAGTAAATATCTCCATATAGTTTACCTTAGTTAGTCAGACCACGTGTTAAACTGCTCAGTGTTTACTGCTGTTGACTTGACTTGACAATGTCAACTCTTTGTTTTCAGGTGGTTAAACTAAAGCAGATAGAACACACACTAAATGAAAAAAGAATACTACAGGCCGTCTCCTTCCCCTTCCTCGTCAGATTGGAGTACGCTTTCAAGGTAAACACAAGCTGCACTCCTTTTGGTGTCTCTTACCAGACATACTTCCTTTTTTTATTATTATTATTTCATTGTGGAAAATTTGTGTTTTAAAATATACATTTGCTGTGTGAAGATTAGGGATGTCAATCAATTAACAATTCTAATCAAATTAATCACAGTTAATCATGATTGATCGTGGTCCAGAAAAATCAACATTCCATGTTATAAACATAATAGATTTCTGTGCTTCTTTTATGTTTGTGTTTTGCAGGACAACTCAAACCTTTACATGGTGATGGAATATGTCCCCGGTGGAGAGATGTTCTCACATCTCAGACGTATTGGCAGGTTCAGGTATTTCATCATTTGTTTTGTTTTTGTCCTTAGTTGTTCATTTATTTCCTATATCACATGTTGAATTTCAGTTACTATAAATAACTGCCTTTTTATTCAAATGAAGCTCCTGTTCATGTGTTTCTATCACATCTGATAAACTGAATTTGTTTTTGTCAGTGAACATCATGCAAGATTTTATGCAGCTCAGATAGTGCTCACCTTTGAGTACCTTCACTCTTTAGACCTCATCTACAGAGACTTGAAGCCAGAAAACCTACTCATAGATCAGCATGGGTATATTCAGGTACACAACACGTTTTCATTTTGATGGTGATTGAACAGAAGAACACGTACAGTTCTGAACTCAGTATGGTGTGCACCAAATCTGTAGGTCACAGATTTTGGATTTGCCAAAAGAGTCAAAGGCAGGACCTGGACGTTGTGTGGAACTCCCGAGTATCTGGCTCCAGAGATAATCCTCAGCAAGGTGAGTCCTTAGTTACTACTGAGATGTACAGATACCAGTTCCAGGATCGACATCCACTCAAATTCATTGACCCAAAAACCTTTTATCACCACAACTAGCTGTGCAGCAGTCAGCAGTGCTGTGTGTTTTCTACTGCACTCCAGTGTCTCACATCAGTAGTTTGTTTAAATAGGTCAACAGTGTCGGCCGTCTGGAGTTATGTCAACATTAGGGACGAAGACACGAGCAATAGTACTTTTGTAACAGCGCTTTAAATAAAGTTTAGAAGCAGTGAATGTGTCTGAATAAAGGTCCGGGCGACAATAGTGGGAGAAATAATGCAAACTACAAACAAGAGGGCAAAAAAACGTGTCATTTTTTGCAGGGCTACAACAAAGCTGTGGATTGGTGGGCACTTGGAGTTCTAATCTACGAAATGGCTGCTGGTTATCCTCCCTTTTTTGCCGACCAGCCGATCCAGATCTACGAAAAGATTGTGTCCGGCAAGGTAGGACAGAATACTATGAACACAACACAATTTGTCCAAAAATGTGCCACCGCGCTGGACTTGTCGTGAGTCCCATTCCACTCTGCTCCTGCATTTGCACAAAATTTTGAAGAATAACGGAATCCACCACAAACCATGTGAGTAGCACTAGTTAATGACTAGGTTAGAAAGTAATGTGTGTTGACTGTACAGACTGTCAGTTGTCCAACACGGACATGTTCTTCCATACGTCTGTTTTACTGGAATAAGGCAGAAGTAATTACTATGTCCAACCTCAGACATAAAAACAGCTGACATGGAGACAACGATTTTTAAAATAAATTGGCTGAATTTAAAATGCAGTCCAAAAATATTAGAGGTAAAGAAAAGCGCACTTTGCTTTTAACTATTCATGGTTCTTTCCATTTTTTCAGGTACGATTCCCCTCTCACTTTAGCTCTGACCTTAAAGACCTGCTGAGAAATCTGCTGCAGGTTGACCTGACCAAGAGATTTGGCAACTTGAAGAATGGTGTGAACGACATAAAAAATCACAAGTGGTTCTCCACAACAGACTGGATTGCCATATATGAGAGGAAGGTTGGTCAGAATTCCGTTGTCACGTATTAAGAAAAATCAAATAAATCTTAGGTCCTAGATAAATACTTCCGTTCTCCGTCCTCAGGTGGAAGCTCCCTTTATGCCAAAGTGCAGAGGTCCAGGAGATACGAGCAACTTTGACGACTACGAAGAGGAGGAAATTCGAGTGTCGCAAACGGAAAAGTGTGCAAAAGAGTTTGCTGATTTCTAGTGAGCGGACGGGGGTCCCGCTAGGGTCGGTGTGTTTTGGGGGATTTTGCACTCGGATTTTAAGCGTTTAGGTTGAACTGTGTCCATCACATCTAACACCAGTGCTTCATCCCACACAGCTGAATGAGATCCTTCTTGCCATAGCCCTGCGTGCAGTAACGCACTAACCTGTACACATTATGCAGACACGCCCCCCGTGCTGCAACACACAAACACAAGACTCTGTGTTTTGTTGGTGTCCTCTCTCTTTAATTTGAATTTCCATGAGCGTCAAAAGAGCTTTTACTGCTCCCATTTTAAAACGGCACAAACACTGATGGATTTTATTCGCTGGTGTTGCACATCTTCTGACATTAGCTTTTGGAGAAATTGAAGGGTTCATTTTCCCGTCTTTCTTGTTTCGGTTTATTGTTTAAACTTGTGTTTTTGCCACACCTGGTTGTTTTCATTCCCTGCTGATTATAACCTCCTTAACAAATTAGCCATCAGTCACTCCTCTGTTGTCCGACGTGCTTATGAAGTAATACCAGATCATGGATCTATATTTGGACACTGTTTGCTAAATGCATACCCACAATCCAATTGAAGGAAGTGGTGCTCTGGGAAGGAGAAGAAACAGTTGTGGAGACTGCTTTTTCTGTCCAGTTATGGAAAAAACTGATCAACACTTTTCTTGTCAGGCGCTGTACACGTTGATCAGTTTTCAAATTGCTCGATCCAAATCTGGTCACAGGACATTTCTTTTTACCTCAGAGTCGGTGTGGTATGTACTTTTCAAGTACAAGTCTGATGAGGTTTGATTGACAGGTTGGCAGGTTTTTGGCAAGCCCATAAATTAAGTACACTGAAGGGTTTTCTCACAAACTGATAATTAACTTTTCAGATTTCAATGAAAGGGAATTTGCTGTAGCAGCAAAGCACTTTTGTGTGTGTGAACTTGGTCAGACCATCAGAATAATTGTTCATGATTTTGTTCTGCTTTAGCAGAGCAGTTGAAAGTCTATTTTTAACTTTCTTGTTTGCGTTGTCATTTTCTCACAGTCCCTGAAAGTGTTGCTGTCTTTTTTTACAGAGGCAGATATCAACCTTTTACCACTATTTTAAAAGTTTACGGAAAAGTCCAGATGACCTTTTCTTCCATCCCAAAAACAGAGTCATTTGACAACTCACTGTTTCAAAGATAATTGTCCCCACAAACGTGTCGCTGGTTTCTCTCCAGTTCATCTGGTGACTCATCTGCTCTGTAATCGTGTAAAACCCTGCGATTCTTTCCTCCTCGTGTTGGGGCTGATGGTCTTGATGTACGACAAACTGCTTGATGTCATGATGATATTTATATGGCAATACATAAACTGCTTGATGTCATGATGATATTTATAAGGCAATACATTTTCCTAATCCATGACAATCCCTGACATGTTTTTTTAAAGCATGGTCATTTTTTATTTTATTTTTTTGCAAATGTTTTTTCAGTCCATTCGCAAGTGACTTAAAAAAAACCCCTGAAGAGCTAAGACCTGGGTGAGTTAGAATTTACAGAGATAAATTATCAACAGTTTAAGTGTTGGCGTTTTAAATCTTTGACCCGTAGTCCAGTGCTGTTATTACAGTAAAATATTTTCACTGTGATGGAGCAATAGTGACACATTCTTCCTTGCAAAATTGCTCAGGTTGTGTCCCATCAGTTGAAGAATGACGATGGACAAGTTGTCGTCACCTTGTCCAAACGTTGGTACGGAGTCCGACGTGAGTTTTTGTCTACACATATTTAGGTTAATCCTAGGTAGGGTTTTATGCACAGGATCATTTAAATTAAATAACATGAATATGTAAAGTATGTCTCCAACACCTCTTTACCAGCCTGGTAGGTTCAGTCAAATAATGTATGTCAAAGGTTTGATGCCTGTGTTCTCTTCATGTCTCTGCGTCCTTTTTGGAGGATTCAGTCTGTCGTTCACAAAGATCAGGTTAAGGTCACTTTTTGCAGGTTGGACGCTCAGGGTTTTGTGGAAATAGTTTCTGTTCTCGTTGGAAATGGTAACAAATTGTTTGTAGTCTTTTTGTTGTTGTTTTTTTAACATGGAAACCTTCAGACACTAAGACCATCAGTGAACACGGTGCTGAAGTTTGTGTACTGAGAAATCCTGCTGTTTGGATTGAAGAGATGAAATCAGACGATAACTGAACCTGGTGGTGGCGGGCCGTCTTTAACAGACTTCAGACGTGGTCCTTGTTGTTCACAGGTTGAGCCCACAGTGTCAACTTTCAATCAGCCCACCGTTCCTTTCCAAAGCCACAACCGTTTGTCGTAGATTCATTTATGTTTAGATACAGCATGTCTTCAGAAGACTTGGGTTGTTTTTTAGCATATAATACTTTAAAACGATTTATTCACAAAAGTGTTCTAGGCGGTGACATGTTTAATTTATTTATTTATACTTTCCTCCCTTATAATTAAATTCATAGAAATACAAATGTTGTCAGTGGTTAATACATACTGGTACCTCAGATGTTCCTTTAACACTGTTTTTTTTTTTTAACTTTACCTTTGCTTCATTTGTTTCACTAGGCAAATGGAAGAGGAAGAAGTGTGAACTTCCTGGTTTAAAGGTCGAACAGTTTGTTTCAGCAGTATTTTTTTAATCCAAAGTCCAAACTGCCTGTGTGTAAATCATACCAGAAAGTGTGTAGGAAGTCCACTGCTCTTCTAATGTGTCATGAATCCCTACCATGTGTGTAACAATGTTTGTCATGTCTGATATACATGATGGCACTTTTCCCCATGACCACTCCAATATCCTATAGAAGGAGTTCCTTTTTGAGTTAGAGTTTTTTGTAGCTATAGTCACACGTATGCCAGTGCGGGATCATTGATCTGAAATGTGTCTCTATCTGATACTCTGTTTTATTCATTGTTATTATTTTCTCACGTTATTTAGAAGGCTGTTATGTTTTTCCTCCATCCATATTTACTTGTGTTTGCAAGGAGAATATACTTTGCTGTAGCAGATTTTTATGTATCAAAATAAATTATGTAAGAAATGTCACTATAATAAATCATTTTTTTTATTTAAACGTGACTTTTTATGCTTTGGCGATTGGCGGATGATGGATAACATTGCGAAACTACAACCTCGGAGTTGGAGCGGTGTGAGACTACATTTCCCATGAGCCTCTGCGCTTACGTAGTGGGCGAAAAAGGCAATGGGCGATGAAAAGGTTCTACTTGGTATTACTTCAATAAATCCTCATATTTATCAGACATTTCTAACTGCCTGTTGCTTGCAAATTTAACCCAGAAATTTGAAAACATTTTTTCGTTTAAACTACGCGTTTGGCTTCAACAAAGATTCGCTGTCAAGCAGGAATCTTCTCAAATAAGGTAACTTAAAATATAGCTAAGCCTGCTAACTTAGCCCGATATGAACGCGAGGAGGCAGCCATCTAATAAGCGTAGCCATATCCCTAATTGTACAGTACATTTAATCTGTTTTTATTTATTTTTATATTTTACAGTACAGGCAATTTTACGCTTGCAATGTGGTGTTCTTATTTATTTTTATATTTTACAGTACAGTACACGCTTGCAATGTGGTGTTTAATGGATTTGACAATTGTCTCAGGACGTCATGTTCAGAGGTTGCAGTTTTACTCTAGCGATTTCTACTGACATGCAGACTTTTAATTTTGCTGCCGTAAATAGTGTTTTTATCGAATGTTTTTTTTACTGTGTAATTGTTTCAACTGTGTATTTTCATTTAGGGCTTCGATGACGAGTCCGTGAAGATGTTTGTGCTGCTAACATACTAAGTTCCCTGATTGAAGACATCGGATGAAAAATCGCTGCAACGCTACTGATAGTAAGACACATTATTAATGTCTTTTAAGTCACAGACGTCCACGTACAGTGAAATGATGGCGTCACTTTCGAATGTCACTACTTATCCTGTTTCCTTAGAGTAGACAAAACATTGTTTGTTTCCGTTTCTATCTCACTGCTTTGGTTACGAGCATTCTATTTGTGTCTTCTCTGAACTTCAGTGAAAGATAACGATAATAACGAAAGTAATTAATATAATTGTCATAATTAACAAAAGTTAAATGAAGAACAGGACACATACAAATGAGAACAACAAAGTTATCTTTGCTAAATGTCAGTCTATGTTATGTTAAAGAGAATAAGCGTGTTTTTAAAAAATGAAACTGAAAGTACATTAATTTTTCCAGTAAAAGGTCCTTTTTCTCCTTCCAGTATTTATTTCTACCACTTAAAGGCAAAAAAAACGTGAAAACTACTAAAAGCAATAACAAACAGATTAGTAGATTAGATTAGATTAGATTGATGAGGAAAATCTGTATGTATGGATTTCATTACAAGGATTTTTTAATTCAGTCTACTAAAAACATTTAAAAAGCTATGCTTATTCATAAGTTTCACTGAATTAAATGTACGTATTTGTTTTTACATTGAAATTTAAATTAGAAATTTGATTTCTAATTTAATTTACTAATATTGAGAGTTTAATTTAAAATGTTTTTTTCTTGACACATTTGTTTTGTTTTATTTTATATTGCTGGTTAATTGAGGAGGGGTTTTTTTGTTTTGTTTTTTTAGACGTAATGGACGACAAGGCAAATGGGTCTGTTGACACCAAGAGGTATCGTCGTCCTGAACACTTTTAATCATTGTTAATATAGTTCTCATGAGAGATGGTTTTGATTCGTTCTCTGCTGACTCCACAGTCCGGTGGAGAACGGTCAGATGCCAGACCCTGCCAACTGGGGAGTCGCCGATGTCGTGAACTACTTCAAAGCCACGGGGTTTGAGGAGCAGGCCACGGCTTTTCAAGATCAGGTAGGTCGACTGTTTGACATACATGGTCAGGTGATGTTTAAAAAACAAAAAACTCAGGTGTGTGTCTCTGTTCAACTGACAGGAAATCGATGGGAAGTCCCTGCTGCTAATGACGCGTAACGACGTCCTGACGGGGCTGTCAATTAAACTTGGGCCCGCCTTAAAAATCTATGAATATCATGTGAAGCCTTTGCAGACTCAACACCTGAAGAGCAACGCCTCGTAGCGCCGCGGCCCGTCCTCGTCCGAACACTCACCTTGGTGACAATCACGTCAGGAGATTCCAGGTTAGCTGCTGCCTCACAGGCCTCCGTGGCCCTGGTGGCACCTTTTCACAGGACTTGAATGTTCTGTGTTTATATAAGCTAGGCTCCAACAATGAGTTGAACATTGAGTTCCTCCTAATGTTTGTTAAACCCTTTGTACCATTTTCATTTCTGCTGCTTGATGTGCGGTGGTGTGCAGAAGTCCTGAGCCGAGCCTGACATTTTTCATCCCAGAAAATGTGACCAGTTGTAAGTTTGTGCAGCTGGTGTAAACATGCAAGGATTTTTTTTTTTTAAGCAGAAGTGAACTTTATGATTACAGTACTTTTGTACTTCTTATTTGTGATGACTCCCCCGCCTCCCTGTTTTATCTGAAATCCTCAGGAATATTATTTTAACACCTGGGGTCATCCCAAAACTAATTTTAAGATGTTGTTGATATCAGACAGCCAGCCAATCAAGCTGTTCTCAAATGGCAGTTGTTGAAACAGTGTGTTGATTTATACTCGATCATGGTCCCAAAGATTTTCGACCATGTTACCAACACTGTGGGTGTGAATCATATATTATTATCTAGCCTGTTTTTAATACGGTTTTTAAAACATTTCATTAAATGCAATGAGAGTTTAACTGCATTTTCTGGACACTATTACTGATGTTTGCTATTTAATGTATTAATTTATTTATTATTCTCATGGTAGCAACCTTTATTCAGATTCAGTTGTTCACTTTTCCGAGGAACCTTCTGACAAAAACACAACGCAACCTTTATTCAGATTCAGTTGTTCATTTTTCCAAGGAACCTTCTGACAAAAACACAACCTACGTTTGTAACTTTATAGTAGTCATTCTTGGCCTTTTTCTTTGTCATTTGTAGGTTTTTAACACATTAACCACATCAATTCTATAAGCACAAGGTAGTAGCATTGACGACGTTCTCGATTTGTTTCACATTGACTTATGTAACAGTAATGTCGCGGTTGAGTCGATGAGTGATTTAATGACATCATCAGTTTTGTAGCCTTTGCTAAAGACGACGCTCGTATCTCAAGTCACTTTTTTACTCTTGGCTTTGTGACAGTTTCTTCTTCTCGGACAGTTTTTTCCTTCAGAGCGCCTTCTTCTTTTTCTTCTGCAGAGTAACATCACTGCCCATTTTATTGAAGTTATTATGACTTAGTTGAGTGGAGGACAAAATATCAGCAAGAGCCAATCGAGGTAAAGAGTGCGTTGGTTTGAACGACGGGAGGAAAAAGTACTTTTTAACTTTCTGACTCCACTCAGTCGACACTTCAACAAATCGTTTTTTCCATCATTGCCCTACAAGGTGCTTAGAAATGTAATATTGCTCTGTGGCTTTGGAATATTTGGTAACTTTCCTGCTGCTGCTTCTGCTCCAGGCGGTGATTTAATGTGATGTAAACATTTAGAGACTTTTAGAGGTATTTTATTGAAGTCCGTAACCGTATCACAGGAGACTCATGATGTGAATTATCAGAGAGTAGAGACTCTGGACTGATGCACGCCACCGGTTTTTTTATTGTGTGAGTTTGTGTGTGTGTGTGAGAGTGTGCATGTGTGTGAGTTTTATCTGGGAAAAGAAAATCTGGTAATACAATACAGGTATGTTTGTACATAGATATGTTTGTTAAAAACAGTATTTGTATATAAGATGATATAGTTGAAGTTGTTTCTTACCTGGATCTTACACAGAGAAGAAAGAATCCATGAAGCCCCTTCTCTCTTTCTCTCTTTCTCTCTTTCTCTCTTTCTTTCTTTTTTTAATGTATTAAATGCTGACTGTGAGCATGTCGTTTGCTCAGACATAAACGTTCGATGATCCAGGCTTGAGGCTTTTAATGAAAAGATATTTTACAGGTTTTTATTCTTCTGTGTGCTTACTGTATGTGTGTGGTTGTGTCACACGGCCACAGCTGTAAAAAGAGCGTGTGACTTCAGTAGGTGTGCTACATTACACTGGAATGGAATTTTGAAATCATGGCTTTGCAATAAACGGTGCTCTTTTCTCACCAAAGAACAAAATTGACGAAATGTAATGAAATGTAATCAAACATTATACTGACAACATTCAGTCAAAATGTTTTCAAGTTTTCAAACCATTTTTTTTAATTCAAAAAGAATAATGTTAGTGTGAGGCCAGCATTGCTGCCTGGACATTTTGTTGACTTCTTCACAGCTTTGCCGTCGGTTTTCTTCGCACGGTGCCTGTGATGTTTCCTGCCGGACTGTCCAGGGGAAGTAGTACCTGTGAGTAATGTGAATTCTTTAGTAATGTCTGTTTAATTTCTTGTCAGAAAAACATGGAATTTGATCTAATGTTATTAAAACTCACTTCATCTTTGTTGGCAATACCCATTTTTGTCATGTCAATGGTGAAGTAATGCTGGTTGGGCATAACAATCTCAATCTCCTCCACCTGAAAGAAAAGTCCACATTAACATTTGCACCCATTTGATCCTTGAAAAATCTAAAAGTAGAAGTCGTTTTGGCTGTAAAAAGTATTGTTAAATGATTGAGTACGGCTGTAAAATGTATTTTTCTTAAAAGTCCAGCCTACCTCAGGAACTCGCTCCAGGATCAGGAGCTGTGATTCATAAAGAGTCTTCTGCACCGATGGGGAGAATTCTCCACGATCGTAGGGCCCAGCAAACTTTTCTACGATTGTGTCTCTCACACACTTCCTGACAGTAGACACACACACACACACACGTGTAAATCGTTACCAGGATACTGGGAGATAACATGGGACAATCTGTTTTCTGGGTGAGTGTTTGTTTAATTTTGGATCAACAGTTCTGATGACTGTCTCATCGGTCACCGGTTTTGTCATCTCCATTCCTGGGCTGTCGTGCTATCAGTAAAGGGGAGTTTCATGGTATTAAAAGGTTTCTGTCAGAGGAATGTTTTTTCAAACTGTTTCTGATAAATGTCACCGGAAAATTATATTTGAATAAAACAATAGATCGAATGAGACTTTCGACAAAAGGATGCTGATTTTTTTTTAATGTAGAAACACATTTTTAATGTAAATTATACCCATGGGTTTATGTCAGTGATGATTCTGTTGTCGATCTCCCACATGTCAGAACACCAAAGCTATATTTAAAAACTAATTACTAAAAAAAAGAAAAAATGCTATTGCCATCGAACAGTGGGAAAAAAAAAAAAAAAAAAAAGAAATGCTATTGCCATCGAACAGTGAAAAAAAGAGTATTGAAATTGAAATCAATTTCCTTCCACAGTGGGACCCCAACTCCCAAATGACTGAGTTATAGATCATTACAGATATTTGTTGTAATCAGAGTATATCTACTCTCCTAAGGCTTGGAAATCTGCACGTCTACAACAACGTGTGCTGCATAATTACCAGGCGGCATCAAAGTCGACATCCTGGACCTTGTTGTAGCGCCACCTGGAATAGATGGAAGTGCAGAAACACCTGTCCTTGGTTTCCTGCAGCGTAGTAAAGCGGTCACGAAGAAAACCTTCGAAACCAGACTGTGTGGTTTTCAGCACCTTCATGTTCTTCACTCCACTGTGGATTACTGGGCGGCCTGTGATGAGACACAGTGACGAGGAGACTCTACACAGTTATACTGTAATCAGGTTAGGACATTAGTGACCAGTGGTGACCCCAGGTCGCTCAACCATGAAGCCACATCAAACAAATCTCTTTACATCTTATTATTATCAGGATTCAGGGAATAATGTGTTTTTAGTTTACAGGAAAGTAACACGTTTGAACTCTGCCTGCTGCCATCATGTGGCGAAAATATTAGAATTGTTTTAAAGAAGTTAATATATGCATAAATATGATCCTGCTTCAACCAGAGCCGTTGAAGAAAGAACTAAGTAGTGAATATTTGTACTTTAGCAGAGAAGTTTTACCTCCTAGATTCTGTTCAACATCACAAATGCGATCCGCCTCTGGGCTGAAGATAAAGGCATGTGCGTGTTCCAGCCCATTCTGTAAAAAAAAAAAGAAGAAAAATAAATTCTACTGAAGCATCAGGAAGACGGCCTTTCAGAACGAGGGATATTCATCAAAGTGATTTGAGCTGATTGTGTTCTCTCTGTTTCACAGCTGGTGATTTCTGAGTCCTGTTATTCACCTTCTCTAATCGTCTCCACGGAGCCTCCTCCATGTTGACCTTCACCTTCAGCACGTGGTTGAAGGAGGTCAGGAAATGATTGCAGATGTCCAGGGAAAACTGCTCAATGCTCTTCACCTAAACAAGTGCACGTCACAAAAAGGCTGCTGTTGAGTCACCAGACAAATATCAGGGTGCCATTGGTGATGTCTGACAACAAGAACGAGTGGAATGAAACATTATTATTATAGAGAATATTTTTTGTCAACAATTCGATGCCTGAAACAACAAAATAAAGTCAAACCAAATCACTTAATCATAAATATAGTTCACATTGTATAATATAGTGTAAATAGAAATATCAGAGAATTCAAAGTCTTTGAAGGGTTTCAAAACAAAAAATATATAAAGGGTATAAAACCCAGAGTAGAAAAAAGGATGATTATTTTGATGTTTGCTCAGAGTGGTGTCGGTGTGAGTCAGATGAAAACTACTGTTACCCAAAAGAACTACCTCTGTCTAATGGGATTAACTGATTAACTAACACTCCAAACAGCCGAACAGGATGAACGTGTCTAAAACCCCCAGGTCCTCCGCTGCTAGACTGATAATCATTGGTGAGATCACAAACCCACGGGGAGACATCTTTTAATTACTGTGACCCACGGCAGTAAACTGAGTGGGCAGGATTTGATTCACGGGCCTTATGTTTGACATGGATTACGTTGACTCAGTTGAACAGTTGACTCAGGTTGACTCAGTTGAACAAACCGTTGACTCAGTTGAACAGTTGACTCAGTTGAACAGTTGACTCAGCAGTGTCATGTGTTTTGACTCTGTAACAGTGAACTAATCTGTTTGATGTGCAGATAGAACTCGATTAAAGCTTTAGTTTAACATATTAACGATTCTGACGAGAGTTTGAGCCACAAATACAGCAGGAACTCATTTCGGTTCAGGGGCCACGTTTGGTTCAGATTACATGTCAACAACAGAATTATCTATAAATAACAACAAGTCCATGTTTCCCCCCTTTTTTTCTGAAGTACAAGAACATTAGAAAACATTCATATTTAATGAACTATCATTTGTTCTGTTCTCGTCACTCTTTCTCGCTCCCAGGGATTTGATTGGATGGTCAGAGAACGCACGTTTGAATCTAGAAAAATTAAGTTTTCTCTGCGTCTGTCGAGCGGTCGTTCTCAGTCTGAAGATTTTAAACCATAAATTCGTCTGGACAGACCGAGCCTCCGTCGTTCGAACAGATGGAGACAGAGAAGGACTAGTTGTTAGAACTGGAACCCGTGGTTAATCTGTGGAGTAATCGAACTGCTCTCAGTAACTAATCAGAAGTTTTGGTGAGTAAAATGCAGTTTTTTTTATAATATTGTAATTTTATAATCTTGTTATTGTTATTGAATTGATATATTCTCGTTGTCAGTTGTGGCTGAATTCTGCTTCGTGGGTTTGTTGCTTTAGTAAATCTATGATACACCGACTCGTCATACTACGTCTCTGCATCATATTGATGGTTCCCACAGAAACGATGTGACGGGGTGACAGCCAGCTGTGCCAGTAGACGTCGGTGACTCACCCCTTTGAGTTTGGCCAGTGCATGGACGGTGTTCTTGATGGTGTCGGTGGGGATGACCTCCGAGTTGTCTCCGTCCAGGTAGGCTCTGTGTGTTTTCAGCGTGAGCTCGACGTCAGCCTTCAGCTCGATGACGGAGTGACGCTTCCCCTGTCGCCGGATCACCAACACTTTCACCGCATTTTTGCCGTAGCCAGTTCGTACGAACTCCACGTTCTGCGCACACACGTACATAGGTTTTGACTGCTGTCACGTCACTGAGCAAGACTTTCTGGTTATACCGACGGTTACTGCTGTGAAATAGTCAACTAGTTCAGTCGGTTTGGGACAAATAGCTTAACAATAAATACAAAAGTATAAGTAATATTGTTTAATTATTGGTCGGACGAATTAACGTCTATAACAACAGGTGATACATGTGAACCATCACAGGAGGAAACTTTATACTTAATTTGTTTTTCCACTAATTTATACCATGATAACATAAAAAAAAGAAAATCATATATGAAGCCATATACATTTATTCATATAATGATTTATTTATTCAACTATACATCTGTGTGTGTGTGTGTCTTTACCTGAGGTGAGACGGCGGCCATCGTCGTCCTCCGCTGGTTCACCTGTCTGTGTCCTGTGACAGCTGTCACCTCCAAAGACGAGGGTTTTTAAGAGTGGGTGGTGCCACCTTTGTAACCGGTTCATTGAGTAAATAGACAGGTTTTTTAAAAAAAAAAAAAAAACTATATATATATATATATATAGTTAAAGTGCAAATATTTATTTATAATTTAGTGTTTGCTGAATGAAAGATAAGACATTTGTTTGAAGAGCTGTATGAGCTGTGCGTTTGTAGTGTAGTTTTTAGAAAGTTGTTCATCACAAGAAGAGACAAAAAAAGAGACAAACATCCATTGACAGTAATAATAACCTGCACCTAAGGTCAGTTTTTAGTGAACAGTTGAATCTGTCACTGCCTCACACTGAGGAGGAACATGTAAAAACCAGATTCAGAAAGACTGAACCACTGAACCACCGTGTCCCTGGTTGAGTTCATCTTGTTAATGCTATTTATAAGGTTCTTGTCCAAATTATTTATATCAGTAAAGTGGTCCTGGTGTGGATCCTTGAGGCACACCCAGCCCCAGGCCCCTCACAACCAGACAGTTCAAGTCCATTTTCCTGAATGATCTCCAGGTGATGTGCATGTCTGTGGATGTTTTCTCAAATAAATTGAATACATCTAAGAACACACACAAAGATGCATTTGATTTCATTTGATAGTCATTTCATCATCGTACTCTCTTCATTTATTTTGGGTGTCATTAAGGTTTTTTTTCCCAAATTTTTTTTTTTTTTTTTGTAGAACAGGCCTGGACTTTGAAGTATTGATCAACTGTTTGGAAAAGATTTGAAAAGTTACCAAGAACAAAGGTTCTGTTTGTGACTGTAACCTAGTTTCACAGCATTCTTAATTTCACTGCCACAATTTCTCCTGCTGACAAAATTAAACAGAAAACAGGTGCGAGGCTCGTGTGTCGGTATCTCAGTGAGACCAGGTGTTTCTTTGTGCTCCAGTGAACACCAGTTTCATTACAAGCAAAAATAAAACAGTCAGAAAAGTAGTATTTAAAGAAAACGGTAACATTGGAAAACATTCTGGAGAAGTTAATTCCCATTACATGGAACTACTGAAATCCAATAATATTATAATAAAATAACAATGTTAAACATAATCCTACTGTCCCTTCATCAGCGCTCTGTCATGTGACAGCACCCCATGACTTCCTTTTTTTTTTTTTAAAAAAGCTTAAATCTTTTTATAGTTTCTCGCTCACAAATCTCAGAACCTGACAGCAGATCTGGTTCCCATATTTCTGTGTTTCCTCGCCGTGTTTCACTGCAGCCGTCACTCGTCAGGATGACCGTACACTTCAGTTTAAAGCTTCTAGTAACCGTCTTGTTCTGGCATTGCACGCTGAGTCGTGCCGACTTCTCCTGTAGGAATGAAGCTGATGAGCCCGTTGATTGGTGAGTTAATAATTGTCTCGTCATGTGCCTGCAATAACAAAACTAACGTCAGAAGACTAGTTATAGTCATCTTCATCATCCATCACCTGTTTTAAGATCAACCTTCAAGGATGATCTGTCTACGCTAATCTGGGTCTTATTCTTGTTCTGCAGGTTTATCATCTACAAACTGCCAAAGTATAGGATTAACTACGTGGGCAGTGGGGTGGACTACATGTACCTGGACTCATCAGTAAACGACTGGAAAATGAGTACATTTATGGTTAACCTCAGCCAAGGAGCCGTAGGAAACACACTCAGTCAGCTTTATGCAAGAAAGACCTACGAGGTGAGAAAGTTCACATGAGGGTTTTGTTTGTTTTTTTAAATGAACAGTTGTTTTATTCAGGCTGTGAGGTCATACCACATGATCTAAATAAATAATTACTGGGAACTACAGCGAAGCGGTGCCTTATTACACTTCCTCATCAAGATAATCAGGTAGTTTTCTCTGTCAACTGATGATATTCATATATATATAAATTATATTTGGAGAATCTAAACCATAACAATGAAAACAGTAAATGCATAAATAGCAAATGTGTGTGTGTTGTTTTATTAGAGACTGATCACATTGATGAACATTTGCACATGGTACAAATAACTGCTGCTTTGGACAATGTTTTTACAGAGTTTACATGGATATGGATGGATATATTTAATTTAAAATTAGTAGCATTTTTCACTCCTTACCAAACAAAATATTTCTAGGTCTGTTCAAACTTACTTGTGAAGCTATTTTTTTCTGAGGTCTTGAGGTTTCCAAGTAAACATTGGCGACTGGTAAAAGTTTGTAATAACAAAATATATTTTGTTTCACAGTCCGAGGACTCGGTCTACGCTCTGTACAACGATGCACCACCAGTCCTGGACTACATTAAAGGATATGGACATACTAAAGGTACAGTGAATTATAAGATGGAAACTGTTTACTTTTTTATTAGTCTGCTTTGTTTCACAGTGATTTCATTTTGATTCTGGGTGTAAAAAAACAACAAACTTTACAGCTGGAAGGTCACTGATTGGTTCCTTTATATTAACCGTCATTCTTTATGTCTCAGGTCTGAATAAATGTGTATCTTTATTTAGTTGTATGAGAAGAAGAAAAAAGAACAGATCAATAATTTGACATTGGGGGAGTCATGTCTCAGTGTCCAATTGCTTCATGGATGTGAGGGGTGTTTTCTGTTCATACGAGGTTAAAGACGTGTTTGCCTGTGTCCAACAGGGGCACTGCTCTTGGACCACTCTCAAGGTTTTTGGTTATCACACACAGTACCTCGTTTTCCCTCATTCCCAGAGAGAGGTTATATTTACCCGCCATCTGGGAGAGTCAACGGCCAGACTGCTCTGTGTGTGACCTTCAGATACAAACAGTTTCTGACTCTTGGTGAGTGAATACATGGAGCGGAATTGGTGTCAGCGTCCAGGCGCTCTCACGTCCCAGACGTCTCTGTTCAAAACTCTATTTGAAGAAAAACATAACATTATTTGCACTATGTTCTCATGGTCTGAGGGCTGGTCATGGTGAACAGGATCAGGAAAAGTTATAAAATGTAATATATGTATGTCATTATGTCATTTTATTTCAATTTATTTCCAAAAATATCTCCTTAATCAGTGATCACTGTCTGCTCGACTACAGTGTGAATCAGTCACTGCTGTTTTCAGACTGTTTTTCTAACATCTTCTTTTTGGTGTCTTACTTCAGTGGAGCAGTTGTCTTTCCTTTACCCACGTATCTACAACTGCTCCGTTCCTGCTGCATTCTCCACCGACCTGCCTCAGTTGGTGCAGTTATGTAAAGGCATCAAACCGTCACTGACCTCAGACAGGAACATGCAGCAGCTCGTCTCAGTGGGAGGGGAGAAGTTTGTTCACTTTGTCAAATCTGAACGCTATGTAGACGGTAAGGTGTTCCCCACAAATCTCAGCGCTTACTAGTGAAAACATGAAATGAAATTAGTGCAGATCACAGCATTGTTTGTATTGGTTCTCAGATGAGGTCCTTGACCTCTGAAGGGGCCACACAGTGTCTGCCAGGAGTTTGTGAAATTTGTCGCACAAAATGACGTTTTGTTTTTATTATTTTATTTTATTATTGTCTTTAGAAAGAAGAAACAATAAGTAGAAATGTGTGTTTATCGTCTGTTTTTATTCAACCCCTTCATTTTTTTTTATAATTGTCCGACACCATACAGAAAAAGCCATGTTCAGACATTAATCGTCACCTCCTGTGAAATGAACCACACATCCTCCTTCATTGTGGTCTACCATGTAGAGCTCCATCAGTGGGTTTGCGTGACTGCCACCATTTGCAGAAGAAATGCATAAATACCAGCAGATGGCAGCATTTCTGCAGTTGAAAAAAACAATCACCATACATTTCTTTAGACACATTAAACAGGACACATCTGTCGGTTGAGTTGTCAGTCCTTTGTGATGTCTTGTGTAACTGAACCTCTCGATAATCTCCACTCAGACATCTACACAGGCTGGGTGGCTCAGGTCTTGAAGACAGACCTGCTGGTGGAGTCCTGGCAGCGAGAAGGTCAGCTGCCATCCAATTGCTCACTGCCCAAACACACCATGAACATCAAGAGGATCCATCTCCCCACGTCAGTCTGGTTTCAGTCCTACCATGACCACTCTAAGTGGTGTGTGTCACAGAGACCAGAGGACCAGGTGATCTGCCTGGGGGATTTGAACAGGGACCGGGCCCAGCTGTGGCGCAGTGGTGGACTGACATGCTCATTCAACCCTTTGATTTACAGAGCCTTCAGACAGGTGGTTGACAGCTACATTAGCTGCTAAACCACAGGGACACTGGTAGAACCAGTACCAGTGTACCAGTCTGTCAGCCCATGTCTCAGTGGTTGATCCCATAATAACATATAATAATAATGATAATGATAATGTATGGTTCAGTATGCAGACAGTAGTGAGTGTTTTTGTTTAAAGTAAAAATTATTTCCAAACAGTTAAAACAAGAACAAAATTATATTTTACAATGTCTATGTCAATGTTTCGTCATTTAAATTGTTTTATTTTATTTATAAAACATTCAAAAAGTGTAAATTTAACAAAATGAAAGAAAATACATTCAAATAAATATTACACATATAACTATCAAAAACATTCATTTTTCGTGTCATATAAATACAACGGTAATCGAAATACAATGAAGTATTTGCCGTAAAAAAGAACTTCTGGTACCGTTTGTTTCAATGAATGCGTACGGTCCTGCTATATTCCTCCACACCACTAGATGTCTCTTTCTTATACCGATACTCGCACACTGTCGTGACCTCATTTCCGGAAATACGACAACTCCATGGCACACACGCGCACGTGAAAAGGAAAATAACCAAGTTAACCAAAGATGGATTTTACAGAAGTCCCGGTGAAACAGGACAAGAAAAGTAAGATGAAGAAGACCAAGAAGTTAAAGAAAAACACAACCATGGAGGAGGGGACCGCAGAGGGCGGCCCAGTGGAGGGGAAAATGGAGCAAACTGAAGCAGCTGAAACCTCCTTTCCCCCGGCGTTCAGTTTATCGGATATTAAGAACAAACAGCGAAGACACATGATGTTCATGAAATTCAAACAGGAGAAAAGAAAGGTAAACACACACACGAAAACACACACGTATACGTCTGCTACAGAACGCTACCTGCCCGCCACAGGGCAGCTTTACTGGTTTTATATGCATTAAATATTGGGATATTCAGTTTTCTGTTATGTTAGTTCTGCCTCCTTTTTAATCCACTTTATGATGGCTGTCAGCACCGCTGGTTCTTCTTAATGTTAGCTGTTTATGTTATAAGTGTAGAATTATGAATGTCGTCTTTTATCTGGTTGAATCAGATGTATTGTATTTAACAGCAGCTGTGGACTCACTAATATTCATCATTATGTGATTAGTTTTTCAGGAACACAGCCACTTTTGAAGTTGTAATATATATATATATATATATATTATATATATAAAATATATTTATTTATAAAATAAATTCTTGAAATATTCTGATCATATGTCTCATGGACCTCATGTTGTTGTTTTACAGCTAAAAACCAAGCCTTTCAATGGTCTAACTTTTCCTTTAATTCTAATTTAATTCCTAAATAAAAAGTATTTATGAAAATGGCAAGAAGTAGACACACATACTAAACGTTTTTACAGCTATTATTGCACTATTTAAAATAATTCTTAATGTTTTTAAAGATAATTATCCACCAGATTCTGTTGCTACTTCTTTGATATGTAACAGTAATTTTAAAGCCCCATTGTATTCATGAGATGAGTTTGTGATTACTCTAAAGAATAATCTGTGTTGTCCATCACCTAGGCTTTGGGCACGATTAAACACGCTGCCTTTATAGAAAAGCTTGTTGCCATTTTTGGTGTTTGTTTCGATAGTGCGGTTTTTTGGGGTGCGTCAACCCAGTAGGGACATAGACGGGACACGAGACCAAAACTGTTTGGGAACAGCTGGTGTAAAACATCATCTTTGCCACAGGAGAAAAAGAACAATTCAAATTGACTTATGTTTGTCATATAACCTACTAACTTGATGTGATTGGATGTGGGATGTTTTTCTATTGTCCATATAATGAGCAACCTCACCTCCAATAACAAACATGATTTTAGATTTTTCTTCTGATTGTTTTTTTTCTTCTTCATTTGTCTATGTTGTAGCAAAAGTTGCAGATCAGGAAGAAAAAGAAAAAAGAAAGAAAAGCGTTGGGTGACAAGGTGAGTTCATACTTTGTTCATAAACTATTTTCTACAAAGGTTGAAACACAACATTATATATTATATAACATTATATGAGCAGCATTATAGATTTTTGAATAAAATGTTTCCTTGACTTTTCTAAATCCACACCTTTTCATTACTAAATTCCATCTGGACTGAAGCCCACATTTTTGGTCTGACCCATATTTTCACAGGCTCCACCCAAAGAGGTCCCAAAGACGATAGAAAACCAGCGAGTCTATGACGAGACCACAGTGGACCCTGAAGATGAAGAGGTTTAACTCATTATTGGCAAACGTGTGTTATTCATTATAGTATTCAGATATCATTTTTATTTTTTGATTTGTCTTTGTTTACTGCCACCTGCAGGTTGCATTTGATGAGGGAACTGATGAGTTTTCTGCCTACTTCAATGGCATTTCAAATCCCAAAGTTCTTGTCACAACATCAGACAGACCCCACTGGGTAAGGTGCTAAATTAGGACTTTTTGTTTTATCAGATCAAACAAACGTGTTTTTTTTAATGATTTATTCAGAATAAGTTTTAAAAGTTTCTGCTTCAATGCCCTGATTTATTCAGAATAAGTTTTAAAAGTTCCTGCTTCAACTTGCAGAGGACGGTGAGATTTTGTGAGCAGCTGGCCACCGTAATACCAAACGCTCACGTGTTCTACAGAAGAGGTCTGGCACTGAAGAGAGTCATCCCTCAGTGCATCGCCAGGGACTTCACCTACCTCATGGTCATCAACGAGGATCGAAAAGTTCCCAGTATCCTGACAGATAGCTGAATTGTGGGGGAGGAGGATGATGATGATAATGATGGTGTTTTTCTTTTTTCTTTTCAATCTGTTCTCACTCAGAGTTATTGAAATATGTGGCCCTGCGATCCAGTCCAGTTGAACTGTCCAGGGTGTACATGCCTCCTGACTCCAGTGCGCCTGTTTTACACCCCAGCAGAAAAGACGGTTCTGTTTTTCTGTCAGTGTCGTAGGTCATTAAAGGCCAGCTTCCTTAACTGCCTTTTTTAAGACGGTATGGTTCTCTGTCACCTCCCTGATGGGCCGACGGCACACTTCAAAGTCAGCAGTGTTCGGTTACGGAAAGAGATCAAGGCAAGTGCATATATTTTCATCTAATGAGAGTTTTCTTTCCTCTGTTGGAGCCGTTGTCAAAGCACAGTGTAGACGCAGTGGTCTGAGCTCTCTGATGTCTCCTCTCTGCAGAGGCGAGGCAAAGATCCCACAGAACATTTTCCGGAGGTCATTCTGAACAACTTCAGCACACGCCTGGGCCACAGCATCGGCCGATTGTTTGCAGCTCTTTTCCCACAGAACCCACAGTTTGTCGGTCGACAGGTGGCCACTTTCCACAACCAGAGAGATTTCGTCTTCTTCAGGTTCCACAGGTAAATACTTTTAAAGCCTCCATTGGAGTACAGGATGTATTTGCATATGTCGTTTGAAATGTTTGTCATCGCTTGCATCTGTGTAGGTATATTTTTAAGAACGAGAAGAAAGTTGGCATTCAGGAGCTGGGACCACGTTTTACACTCAAACTGCGATCTCTGCAGAAAGGCACCTTTGACTCAAAGTTTGGAGAGTACGAGTGGGTCCTGAAGGTGAGTCAACACTTCCCTGTTGTAAATATATGTGTGTGTGTTTGTGTGTACGTATGTACTGTATTTATGTATTTTGAAGATCTAGATAGAATTGTTTGTGATATACTGTTTTTGATGTAAAGTTTATACGAATGTATGTATTTTTATTTTCAGCGCCATGAGATGGATGCCTGCAGACGGAAGTTCCAGCTTTGAGGATGTGATGTTCCTTATCCTTATTTGTCAGACAAGGACTTTTTAAACGACTGTATTCTTGATGTTTTCGAGACTTTGAGGACTGACTAGATTTAGCACGTCCGTTAATCTCAGTTTGATCAATCTCCAGAAACTGTATTTTGAGGTCACTCTGTCAGTGGAACCCTTTTAATGAGACGTGATGGTCTCGAAGACCAAGTGTGGCACACGAGAAAACTTGTCTTTTCTGAAACATGCAGTAACTTCACAAGAATTATACTAATCTTCATGTTTTATGAGAAGTGACACTTGTTTGGCAGATGTGATTGGTCGTCCCAAAATAAACAGGCAACAATCTGACACATTTAATTGGCTTCTTTTATTTAAAGTTAAAAACGTGGAAATAAGGTTTATTATTTTTTCCCAAAGTCAGTCTTTACAAAGGCACAATTCAAAGGCACGCCATGTGTTGATATGGATTTGTTATCTGAAAGCTTCTAGGTTTAAACAGCTATCGTGACCCCTAAATACTCTTAACACAAAATGTTTCAGAATTAGATTTTAGAGAGGCATGTTATGACAAAAAAGTCCTTAAGTTAATCGTTTGTCCCAAAATTGAATTAATACTCCTGAGACGATTCCAGTCCATGGATCCTGTAACCAGAAGGCACCGATGTCCGAAACCTGTTGAAATGTGTTTGCGTCAGTAAAACGAAGACGACAGATTGAGGCAACTTTGACAGTTATAAAGTTCTACTTTTCAACGTCTGACTCGAGACAAGGGTTTTTTTGGGGGGAGTGGAGATGGGTTAAAACACAAGGTCACTAGCCGTGTACTTCAGTAGGACCTGACGTCTCCACTGACACTGACCGACACTGGTGACGGCGATGACGAGTGTTACTCACAGAGGCAGAGACAGGGTTGCTCCCTGGGTGCTATAGGAAGGAGCACACCTTCTGTGGTCTGAACGGGTTGTTGCTGGAAGACATCCCAGTGAGCAGCGGGTCATGCTGGGCATTCTGGAGGCAGAACTGCTGCAGGTCAGCAGCAGCCTGGGACACCTGCGGAGGACAACCAACACTGTGGTAAGTTGGCCCACAAGTTGTCAATGAACATGAATGAATGATAACTGTCAATGAGAGACTGATGTACAGCTATTACAGAGTGGGATGTTACAGAAGTAACAGGTGTTTGTTGTTAGTGTTCATACACAGAAGTATTAAATATCATATGTATATACAGTATTTATATATGGTACTAACAATTAAGTAGTTTTCAGCTTAAGTACATGTTGGCTGACAAGATTAAAAATAAAATGTATCAACTTCTTTTGGCTTATGACACATTTACAAGAAAAACCTTGTCGAGTGTTTACTTTAAAAAACTCTAAGCAGCTTAAGTGCTTTAAAAAAACATTCCAAGTGTATAAATAAGAAACTCCTGACGATCGGTCTTGGTATATTTATTTATGATCAGTTGCAGCCCAAAATTACATTCATACGTTTCACTTTACGACACTTTGAGCACTTTGTGGCTCTCCGTAGCAGTCCCGCTACAACCTGTTAGATTCAACTAAATAACAGAATTCAATACATCATTTAAAAACACAACTGTTTTCTAATTTCTTACAAAATGTTTACCTTTTAAGATAAACACAGAGGGAGAGAGGTTCATTCGTTTAAGTGTGTAAATGTCAATGTTTTTCTTCACACAAGTTTCGAAAATATCGCGGTTCCCACTCGTTTTGGTCTCTCGAACATTACGGAAAGAATTCTCTAAACTCGTAAATGTGCTAAGAACATCCAGAGTGACTTTCGACTATCCAAACACTCACGCCCTGAAAGTAGCCACCTCCACACCGTTACCTTTACTCTGGTAATCCCGGCTTCAAGGCGCAGCTGATGGACGATTTTCTTCATTGCCACAATGTTGGAGGAACCGGACATGATTGACGGTTCAAGTTAGGAGCACAGTTTGACTTGATACGATCGAAAGTAACAATTATCCACTGTTTACGACTCGGTTAGCCTCAGCTGCGCGTCTTTTCCAACAAAGAACTTCCGTTTTCTTCCAAGGCGTGTCTGAAACTGATGCGTTAAGGTTTGCTCGGAAAACAATGGGATGGAAATACAGTATTTTACGGTTTACAGCCCATAAACGTTTTATGTGTTTATTTTCCTTTTTTGTTTTGTTTTATGTATACATACAACTGAGATCAGAATGGTTTTTGTAGTCTTGAGAGGAGAGTAATCCTAAAAAAAAAAAAAAAATTCTACACTTATGAAGAAAATGTTATTTTCCTAAAGGGGTTTTGGGGGGAAAAAAAAGATTCAGACTAAGACTCTAAAAATGTTATTTTCCTAAAGGGGTTTTGAGGAAGTTACGACAAAAAGATTCAGACTAAGTCTCTTAGAACGAACTGTCCTAAAAATACACAAACCCCGCCCCTTACCTGACAACGTCACTGCAATAAACAGCAAACCTCTGTCACAGAACGTGTCAACACTAAAACACGACGAACAAAAACCAAGTGCATTACAAGTTTCACAAACAGGGGGCGTCAGAGGGCTTTTAGCTCTATCAGTCAGTTGGTAATGAACTGTTAGTATATAAACAATTAACCGCATATAAACCCTGCATTAAACAAAAATTAATGTTAAATAAATATATTGTTTTGGTTCCTACTAATTTCAGTATTGATTTATCGTTGATTGTAGTGACTGAGCTCAGCTGTAGGGATCTGAGTTGAGAATCAAACTAGCAACTCCCTCCTCCTGTTGTTGTTGTTTTCATTTTTGCAATTAAAAAAAAAAAGATTAGGAATATTGTAAGCAGTAGAGAAATCCGTAAGAAGGCTTTGTAACAGGGATTCCTTTATAATCCAAAGGCTGAGATATTTTTAATGACCACATTCCACACCAATCATAATACAGTACATTGGAAAACACAACAAAAAATAAACATTTCAAATAATACTGTATTTACATGTATCAGCTGCTCTCCTATTCTTGATTTAATGACTTATTTGTTTTTTTTGTTTTTTTGTTTTTTCTAACTAAATTAGATTTGATAGCAATTTTTTAACAATGTTCATTTGAAAAAAAAGAGACTTGAAATTGAGCAAACACTTCGTTCATTTGAAAAAAAAGAGACTTGAAACAAACTGAGCAAAAAGTAATGATAATGATGGTACAAATCCACAGAATGGAACAAGCTCCTTGAGTCAGGCTGCATTTGTCATCATCGGCACCAGAGCAACCACCGCTGGCACTCTCATAAAAGAAGTGAGTGACTGTGTTTGATTACAGCAGATTGTTCCTTGAGCAGCCGTCAACGCCCTCGAGGAGCCGAGGGACCTCCTGCAATTTAAGCAGGCAGAGATCTACGGTCTCAAACAGTGGAGCTTCACTTCTCCTCTTCATCACCCGCTGCAGTCACGATGGAGCTTTCCTGTGAATCTGTGAGATGTCCAGAGGAGAGAAGACCCGTCAGTTGCAAGGTTTGTTGACAGAATCCAACCTCCAACTGTTGTCAGAAGATAGTTACTGTAGTCACAGACATTTGTCATGCAGATGAACACAGTTACTGTCTTTGTGTGTGTGTGTGTTAGTTTGTGGAACTCCACGTCCTGTACGTACCAGATGACCAGTGGAATGTGAAACTCAACAAGGTTCCAGCTGAAGCCATAGAGAGCTTCATCTCAGCAGGCTTCATCAGGTTCATCTGGGATTTTTTTTATTTTCTGGGATACATTTTGGAAAAGGGAAAATCCAAGTCTATGTTTGGTTGAAGATTTCTCTTTTTCAAAGCTGTCAGTTCCTGCACAGTTATGGGCTGTTTGGTCAGTGCTGTCACTGTAGCAGAAACGTTTTATAAACCTTTCCTTTTTCCACATTGTTCCTACCCATATTAATATTGATGATGTTAATTAATATTGCAATGACAACAACGACAACGATACAATTTTTCTCTTCAATTTCAATTTTAGAGTTTTTCCTGATGTCACACTGAAAAGTCTAAGGCGTGAACTGGGTTCTTTACTTGGAGCAGACAAGAGCATCAACAAATTCTCCTTTTTGAAATGTGTGGGTCGCAGCCTGGCACTGGTCAGTACGGTGTGTGTGTGCGTGCACGTGTTTGAGCAAAACTTTTTTTTTTAATCACCTGACACCAAACATGTATTTGTTCCAGGTTAAAGGCAAACAGGAGAAGGATCTGAAAGTAAAAACATTTGCTCCACCATATGTGAGTATTCCAATAAAGTAGACACCAAATATAAAATGTATAATAAAAATAATAAATGGCTTTAGTTTCTGTTAAAACACAATTTATTTACACTGGTATGTTAGGAAAAGAAAATTTAAATTGCTCATTTATGTTAATAAATTCAGCTTTTAGTTGAGTGTATGTTTAGAAAAGGGTTAGAAAAGTATTTGTTTGTGTTGTTTCTGCTAATAGAACTTAGACAAACTGCCACAGTTGTCAACATTTATTCAACATTTACTCTAAGGTGTCAGTAGCAGGTCAGTGTTGAAGTGTATCAGCAGCTCATACGTCTGTGCCCTCTGTGGTCAGGCACCTCAGCCTGAGCTCTACCTCCTGCCTGCTGTGGAGACGGGCAGCAGTGTTTGCTCCAGGTCTCTGAGCCCAGACACCAGCAGCAGCTCTCCAGACCAGCCCACGTACTACCACTCTGCCAAGACCTGCAGCCTGCCAACAAGGATAAAGGAGCCCGTGAAGTTCCCCCTCATCCCTCAGTCTTCTCAGCCACCGCCTCCCACCCCAGAAGGATCTGAAAGTAAAAACATTTGCTCCACCATATGTGAGTATTCCAATAAAGTATTATATGTATATAAAATGTATAATAAAAATAATAAATGGCTTTAGTTTCTGTTAAAACACAATTTATTTACACTGGTATGTTAGGAAAAGAAAATTTAAATTGCTCATTTATGTTAATAAATTCAGCTTTTAGTTGAGTGTATGTTTAGAAAAGGGTTAGAAAAGTATTTGTTTGTGTTGTTTCTGCTAATAGAACTTAGACAAACTGCCACAGTTGTCAACATTTATTCAACATTTACTCTAAGGTGTCAGTAGCAGGTCAGTGTTGAAGTGTATCAGCAGCTCATACGTCTGTGCCCTCTGTGGTCAGGCACCTCAGCCTGAGCTCTACCTCCTGCCTGCTGTGGAGACGGGCAGCAGTGTTTGCTCCAGGTCTCTGAGCCCAGACACCAGCAGCAGCTCTCCAGACCAGCCCACGTACTACCACTCTGCCAAGACCTGCAGCCTGCCAACAAGGATAAAGGAGCCCGTGAAGTTCCCCCTCATCCCTCAGTCTTCTCAGCCACCACTTCCCACCCCCAGTCTGGAGGAGGAGGAGGAAGAGGAGGAGGAGGAGGAAGAGGAGGAAGAACACAGTTACAGTTCTTTGGAAGGACATGAAGAAGACGTCTCTTCCAACAGGCCCGAGTGGCCAGAGCAGGAGTGTTGTCAGAGGACGACTCGCAATCAAAGGACATCACAGTTAGTTTCCCTCAACAAAGGTAAATCATATTCATAATTTTTCTTATTTTCCATCAAGATATAATACATTAAAAGCAGTGTGATGTATAAATGTAGAAACAGTAGGAATTCTACAGATCACTATTTTTCTATTTCAAAATTTCTATTTGTTATTATTATTATTATATATTGATTACTGTAGAGAATTCCTAATACCTTTAGTATTTATACTTGTCATGTAACATTTACTAACTGTGGGACATGACACTAACGTCACTCGTGTGAAAGAGTCTCCAGAGAAAGAAGAAAGCAGCAGGAGGAAAAAACCGTACCACAGAAAAGTGACCGGAGACTCGGGTGTAGCCGAATCTCTAGAAGATGCAGAATCAAGTTTCTCCCCGGCTGATGGGTACAGCAGCGTTCTCACAGTCACAAATGGCACCAGTGTGCTGTTCTACTGTTGTCTTGTTGGTCTAATAATGTGTTTGTTTGCAGACAGAGAAAATTAAAAGAAGGACCTTCACTCAAACCGACGAGTGAGGTAATCCCCGATGTGTCCGGCATTTGTCGACGTTTGACTGAATTACATCAAATGTCCTAGGACTGAGCTGAACACAGACAATTATTGGTCAAATGTTCAGTCCAAATTCCTCCCTCAGCAGGTGGATTACGTGGAGTGTGTGAGATCTTTGAAGTGAACAATGCACTCAAATCCACGCTCGTCCACAAACATCTTTAGGTGAAGACTTCATGTTGTTGTGTTTATTGTCTTTTTCAAGCCGACGCGGAGTCCAGCTGTGTCGTCTCCACTGGTGCATTGTGTCTCTCCGCCTCCTCCTGGTCCAGACGTGGCCTTGGTTCCTCATAAAACTGCTGCTCCTCCGCTCTTTCAGACAAACAGTGAGCTGTCATTTTGGCTTCACACCAGAGGGTAACAATCACTCCTCCTTTCACGACAGCTGACTCGGTTTGTCTTTGGCAGGAGAGGAACTGATCGAGGAGATAAAGCTGGTGAGGGAGGAGAGAAAGCAACTGGAGTGGACCAGACAAGAGTTGCTGCGGAAGGGGAAGGATTTACTGGCTCAGAACAGACACAGGAGGAACCAAGGTCAGGGGTCAACGCTTCTTTGTAAAGAGCTTTAAAGACCTTCACAAAAATGTCTCTGTGCACAAAAAAAAACTCAAGAAAATGTGCTTTTTGACATCCAAGAACCAAACGCTGATTTTATATTTCTGCAACTTTTAAAAATGTATTTAACAGTGTAAAGAAATTGAAACAAACTGTCGATGCCCCACCTGTATCCTAGAGGGACGCCAAATCACCAGTGATTACTTTACTTACATTTTTTTGCTTTCCTTCCTTTCCTGTAACCCCAGCCCGGGACGGTTGGAAAAAGAAGTATTTTGAAACAAAGAAAGCCACTGCGCCACTGGAGGAAAACCTGAGGAAGTTACGACAAGAGTTGGAGACATTTTACAACAAACTCCTGCATCAGCTCCAGGCCCGGGACCACAGAGGGAAGCCGAGAAGACACGGCAGAACGTCCATCAAGGTGTTTTACAGTTTTCACATTTTTGTTTTTTTTTTCTTAAAATAAATTGAAATACATTTTGTAAAGAAAGTTACACTACTTTGAGGTGACATTGAGTTGCTAGCTGGGTGTGTATGTGGGCTGCAACTGGTCCTCAGGCCAGGAGTTTGAGACCCCAGACTCCTTTTAGTTTACATTAAAGTTTAGTGAAATTGTAACTGAATGTAGTTCAGAAGTGAACAAATGTCTTTTCAGAATGAGCTCATCATCCAGATTATGACAGAGAGTCATGAAATTGATGACCTAAAGAGGAAGATCGAAGATGCAAAGATGAAGCTGGTGACGGAGATAAAGGTCATTTTTAAATATTATTCACACGCTGTACTACAGACCTCAGTGTTTCTACTGTCACATCCACAAACTCTCCTTGTTTTGTGGTGTAGTTGAGGAAACAGGCTGCCACGGAGCTGAGGGCACTGAAGGCTGAACTGGCACAGAAGAAAAGCCAGTGGTGTCTTCTGGGACCTGCAGCGTCTCTTGGCTTTGGACACACGACACGAGTCAGAACAAAAGATCAAAACACCTCCGTCTAATTCAGCAAAGTCCCGAGGTCGACCCCAGCTAAGACCTTCTCGTCACCTACTCTTCAATTTACCAATTTATCTTTCATTTTCTCACATGACGATGCTGGAGCTGTCATAATATATTCAATTTAATAGTTTGAAAAATTAATTTGAATATTTATCATAACGCATTTTAACGCACTAGTTTAGAGTTTCTTTACCAACTCCATGAAGATAAAATTACAATTTTTCATATTAATAACTCAATATCACTAATAAAAACAGGTGTAAAACACTTCAATCTACCTGCTGATATTCCTTTTTCTGTTCCAACAAAATATATTCTTAAAAATACGAAATTTAACTTCATAATTAATACTGATTAATTACGATGACAATAAATCCTGATAATCGTGATGAATTCACAGCTACAATGTGATAAAAAATTTTAGTTTGTGACTGTACTCCATCAGACTTTATTTTTCGATAAATTTTTTTTAGCTATGTCAGTAAATTAATCTGAAAATGTTTTATTTAAAAACAAATAGCAAAGTGCATCGATTGTATAAAAAAAGCTCAACACTGGCAGATCAGAAACAGACGATGTCTTTGTGCTTTTCCACAGGGTCACAGTTGTTTCATTTAGCACAGACGAAGGCCTGAGCCGTTACTACATTCAGTGACAACAGCAGTAAAAGCCACAATAAACTCTGAAGTGCAGGTATGCATCCCCAAAGTCACATCCCGTTACTGCAACAAAGGCACATGTTGACTTAGCTACAAACAGGAGTGGCCTCAGGGCGGAGTACATTTCTGAAGAAGCCCTGAGCGTCTCCCAGCTAGCATCCTAGCAGGGCATTCCACATCTTCTGAGTCTGCTGCTGGGCAACCGTCTCACCACTGTAGTCCAGGATGTTGGCGTTCCACATGCCGACGCCCCTTAAACCTTTAGTTTTCACATAGTCTGTCTTAAGACAAATGCTCTGCGGGTCGTCATACCAAACCTGATGTATCTGTCCCTCCTCGTTCTGAAAAGAAATAAATCAAACAGATAAAATTAAACATCCTGGAAGCTTTAGAGGCATTCAGAGGGAATGCTTTATCGCTGTTTGGAGGAGGCCATTTGTTCTGTGTGGGAAGCAGCTCGGATGGACGCCTGCAGGGGGCGTTAGATTAACTGCCCTTACAACAAACAGCCTGAACTGTTTGGATGTAATTTATAGGAATTAAAGAGAAGCAAAGTGGTGACTTGATATGTAAATGGACTGAAAGTTAGAAAAAGACAGGCAATATAGAACCACAAAATTAGAGACTTCATAAACACTAAAGGTTTTCTTGTCTTGGATTTGTTATAAAATGTACAATACACAGATATGGTATAAATATGAGTTTTTCCTGCATGAAAGTTATTGAAAGCAAAAACTTAAAAATAGACTTAAAAAAGACTTCCATAGGTTGTTTGACTCTCTGGCCTGTGATAGGCTGGAAAATAAAATAAAATAAAATGTATGCACCTTGTAATTGAAGTATGGTGCCATCTGCTGGCTGTCCCACATCCTGCCCGTCATTGAGCTGTCGACCTGTTTCATGATCCACTTGTATGTCTTCTGTCGTCCCGCTGCATCACTGCAGGGTGCTCCACGGAAAGGAACTTTGGCGATCGAGCATTTTCCCTCCTGTTAATTCAAACAAAGGGGAAATCTTTGTTCTAATGAGAAATTTGAAATGTAAATTCAAAATTCTGACATGAGCGACTTTGGCAACAATCACTGGGATAAAAGAGAAGATATTCTTGAGAGTATCTAATTATGTTTGGAAAAGAAAAAAAATCATGTCAATTATATCACAATACTCAGGAAGAGTCTGATTATCATGGTGTATTTTCTACACACGTTAGTTTAGATGTAAAATTCTTCACCTTTTGTATATTAGAATCACAATGATGACTTTGTCCAACCTCCTCTAAACAGGCAATAGAAACAATAATAGTGTATATGGGTGATGAGATATGGCACAGTACATTAGACTCCACTAGAGTAGGTAATATACTGTCATGTTTGCATTTTTAAACTAAGTGCACAAACACATACACAACAGTCAGTTATCAGGAGGAGCCAATCAGGGTACTGGGATGATTTACCTCAGAAAGACTAAGACATGAGTAGTCGTAGCCGTACCATGGAACACCCATCAGCAGCTTCTTTGGATCTATCTTCATACCCAAGTATTGGTCATAAGCTTAAAGACAGAAACAGAAACATGCAGACAATGGTTTGCTGCTGCTGCTGCTGCTGCTGCTGAATAATTCTGCTTTCTATTCAACTTCACAGAGTTGGACAACAAACCATTCAGTGTTTGGTTGACCGGAGCATTTGCCATCGCAATGCAGTCCCCCATGATCTGACTCTGCTCATCGTAGGACATGACAAACAGCAGGTCGCAGGATTCCGCAATGCTTACGTAATCGTAGCAGCGCCTGTCAATACAGTTCGGCGACCAGGCCACATCAAAGGAGACCTGGAGATCAGACAAAAAAGGTAAACATGCAAATGTTCTGATAAGTAGAAACTCACTCTTTTGAATCGTCTCGTCCACTTGGGTTCTACAAGTCACTAATCCCATTTCTAAACTGTCAAACACTGCCTCAAAATGGTATGAAATCAAAACAGATTTGAGTTTTTGGATAAAAGGGATCACCTGTGATCCTGGAATCTCCCTGTGGAAGGCCTCAGTGGTTTCCCTGACCAGGTCAGTCAGGGCCTGGTACTCAGGAGAGCCCTTGTCCACCGCTTGTTCAATGTCGATGTTGATACCATCCATAAACTGCCTTTTGGCTAAGTCGACCTTGTCTCTTATCCAGGCAGTCCTGTTTTCTTTGTCCACAATATTAACGAGGGGAACGTCACCTTCGCACATGGACAACAGAGAGGAAGAGGAGCAGAGCTCAGACTAGTTTTTCACCACGTAATATTAACCAGAGATGGAGCATTATAGTAATGCTTTGAAGCATAACGACTCAGGGTGAACCCCCCGTCCTTCTCTCTCCGGTTGCTCTACCTTTAAGGAGAACTCGTGCTCCGTTCGAGTGAGCGTAGCACATGAGCTCGGCGTCATACTCTCCGAATGTTGCAATAGTCGTAATCATGCTCCAGTTGTAGGACTTCCATGTCGTTCCACCCACATCGAACAGAAACACCTGGAAGCAGAACATACGGGGACATGAATCATGATTGGCTGACATCTGGGTACTTTTACTACAGTCAAATACTGCGCCTCGTTAAATCACTGAATGTTTCCTGCCAGTGTGAAGCTTAATGTTCCAGAATTCATCTTCTATGCAAATTACAGCAGAGATTGAATACATATATTTTAAAGTACTGTACTGTACTGTACTGCAGTACACAAAGAACTGACAATGACACAATCCTACTTTATCCTGCAGCAGTAAATCAATATTTTTGGTACGCAGTGAAGTATTATTTAATATTTTGTCCAAGGAGTGTGATGTTCAGTTAGAAACAATGAAACCAAACAGTGATTTCTTTTTTTTTTGGTTTTGATCTTGAAACTGCGTCACTTCCTCCTGATAAAGAGGAAGTGATGTTGACAGCAAAAAATAGAATGAAAAAAAAACCCCAGACAAAACTAAACACTTATTTCTAAATCAATTAAACATCATTAATAATATATATTTTTTAATTTTTGCAATTTTGAATTGTAGTTTTTTATTATTTTATGAAAAACGAACGTAGGTTAAGGACTGGAAATCCCAATTTTTTTGACGTTTGTGATCAAAACACGTTCATAGTTCACCCCGGGTTTTTTTTTATTTTTGTAGTGTAAACATATGGTCGAAAGGCAATTACAATATAAATGATACGATCATAATTATATAAATATGCACACATCATTTTAATGCTTCCTGACAACCTGTTCGTGAAGCGACGTGACTTTTGTTTATCCAGGAAGTGAAGATTCCTCGTTACCTCAAAGTCTCTCTGCCCACGGATCTGTTCACACAACTGCGGCCTCTCACACGGACAAACGTTCGCCCCGCACAAACCGACCGCCATCCACAAGAATACAAAAAGCCAAGACATTTCTCCTCGAGAGTTTAATCAAAAAGAAAAAAAAAAGAAATCACTAACCACTGTAATTTCTGTCAGGATCTATGTACGGGGCGCGGCAGAGGACAAACTTGACGTAGTCGACGCGTTCGTTTTGCGTTCATAGGAAAGCAGTTGATTTCAAACAACATAATGGCAGCATATAATCTTTAAATGTTTGTCGATATATATATTTATATATATATATATATATAAAGTCTACTTTACTTGATTTAAAGAAAACCTAAAAATGATATTATGAATAGGTTCTGATGATTAAAACGTCATTACAGTTAAGATAAGAAACATCTATCTATATATTGTTGTTTTTTGTTTATATATTTATATTTATATATTGATATATATCTATATATTATATATTTATATTATATTTATATTATATTATATTATAATTATATTATATTATATATATATATACTGTATATATACACAGTATATATATATATATACACAATGTGTATATATATAGACAAAACACAATTATTGGAAAAACAAAGTATGTTGACTTAAAATAAGATTGATTTCCCAAATATCCTTTATTTAAAACAAACCAAAAACAAACTTAATCATTGCACAAGTTCTAATTTTCGATTAAGTTGTAAAGCATTCCACTGTGCCACACAATCAGTGACTGCACTGATCCAGACCATGTGGTCACCATCGTTGTTGCTGTTGTTACCGTTTGACGACACAAGCGAGCTGTCGCATTCAAAAAGTTATTGAATATATTGAATATAGTCATTTGACCATTTTCATGTCGTTCATGTCATTTCTGTCTATTTTCTAATTTGACCCTCTGATGTGTTATTAAAATGTCCAAGGTTTAATTTACAATTTACAATTTACTTTGCAATTTTATAAAAATGTTTATTTTAATTTAATTAATTTAAATGTATGTTTTTTCATCTTATTGTCACATGAATTTTTCTTATTATTATTGTTGGCACCGTGGCTGTGTTGGACTGTGGCCTTCAGTCAACAATGTCAGGGTCACATTGACAGGAGTGAGATCGTGTCAACATGTCAGGACAGAATTGATTCAAAGGCGGCATCGCCTGCAGCACAATTGTTTTATCAATATTAGTGTTCTACAATATTGAAAGTATATGAGACATTTTAGCTTTAATAATATTTACACCAGGGCCTACAAACTCATAAATCTTTAAAGTAAAAGAGTTGAAAAATGTAATTGAAAAAAATATTGTCTATCCATCCATCCAACCAGCTCAAAAATCACTGTAGAAAACTGCAACCCTCCTTGGCATCTCTCCATCTTTTTTTTTTTATCAGGTTTGTCTGACCTAAACCTGGGGGCTCGATAACTTTAATAATATAGGTTAGGGGTTAATATTTAATCACAGATTCCCTTTGAAGGGTGTAGCAACCACAGAATATAAAAGGAGGACTTTTCTGTTCAGTCCGTTACCTCCTGCAGCCATGAAGGTGCTCGTGTTGGCTCTCGCAGTGGCTCTAGCTGGTAAGACATGCTTTTCTACGACAACATTTGCTGCTTGAATATCATTTACTCATCACTCTGTCTCTCAATTTGACTGTTTTCTATTTCTTCTTCCTTTTTTTGCTCTCAATTTGACTGTTTTCTATTTCTTGTTTCTTTTTTTTTTAGTTGGGCACCAAGTGTCCTTTGGTAAGTGTACTAACTTTGCAACACGAAATAAAAACTCAATACATTAGGTTTAAATGTTAAATAGTAATAAGAGTAAAACACTACAATTTTTTAGGAATTTCTCAAACTAATAATATCAAAAATGCTACTGCAGCCCCAGAATTTGCTGTTGGAAAGACCTACGTGTACAAATATGAAGCGGTTCTGATGGGAGGCCTGCCTGAAGAAGGGCTAGCACGGGCCGGACTGAAGATCCTCAGTGAAGTTATGATCCACCCTGTAACTGCTGACACCTTCGTGCTCAAGGTTAATGGGGATTGTTAGCAGAGGCTAAAATATACAGAAATAAAACACAAACAGCTTTGCTCATTAAATTGTCCCTTTTTACAGCTTGAGAAACCTGAACTGTTTGAGTACAGTGGAATCTGGCCCAAAGATGCTTTCATTCCTGCCACCAAGCTCACCTCAGCCTTGGCTGCTCAGCTCTTGACACCCATCAAGTTCGAGTATGCCAACGGCGTTGTCGGCAAGGTGTTTGCACCAGCTGGCATCTCCACCACCGTGCTGAACATTTACAGGGGACTCATCAACATGTTCCAGCTGAACATCAAGAAGACCCAGAATGTCTACGAGCTGCAGGAGGTATTGAAGTCACTCAGTCAGTCATTGGTTCACCCACATCAACAACAAACAATCACAAACCTTAACACCAAACTGTTTTTGTGAACAAGCCTGGAACACAAGGTGTGTGCAAAACCCACTACGTCATCAGTGAGGACACCAAGGCTGAACGCATTCATCTGTCCAAGACCAAGGATCTGAACCACTGTCAGGAGAGAATCATTAAGGACATTGGCCTGGCTTACGTTGAAAGATGCCCCGAGTGTGAAGCAGAACGTGTTTTCTCCATTTCCTTAATCAAAAAAATGTTGTCTTACACAGTTAATCCCCGTTGCTCATGTTTTTGTTGTTTGTTGGTGTAGAGAGGAAAGATCTTGAAGGGAGCTGCTGCCTTTAACTACGTCATGAAGCCAATGCCAACCGGTGCTCTGATCCTGGAGGCCACCACCACAGAGCTGATCCAGTTCTCTCCACTGAACATCATGAATGGTGCTGCCCAGATGGAGGCTAAGTATGTCCATTTGCATTGAAAATGCAACAGTGGGACCATCTGAAATGTAAAACTGGCTGTCAGGCTGAGCTGTTCTGTATGTTTAAAGGCAAGTCCTTAAATTTGTGGAGATCCTGAAGACCCCAGTGGAGCCAATCGGAGCCGATTATCTTGACCGTGGATCCCTGCAGTACGAGTTTGGCAGCGAGCTTCTTCAGAATCCCATCCAGCTTCTGAGAATTAGCAATGCTGAGGCACAGGTAAGTCAGGCGGCGCTCACTGCACCCGCCAACGGTGTCACGTGCTTTCATGATATCAAGACGGAGATTTGAATTTCTTTCCAGATTGTTGAGATCCTAAACCACCTGGTGACCAACAACGAGGCTAAGGTTCATGAAGATGCTCCTCTGAAGTTCATCGAGCTCATCCAGCTCCTGCGTGTGGCCAGATTTGAGACTATCGAGGCTCTCTGGAATCAAGTCAAAGCTAAACCTGATCACAGGCACTGGATCCTGAATGCCGTTCCCGCCATTGGTACTCATGAAGCTCTGAGGTTCATCAAGGAGAAGTTCCTGGCTGGTGAGGTGACAATTGCTGAAGCTGCTCAAGCCCTGCTGGCAGCTGTGCACATGGTGACTGCTGACATGGAAGCCATCAAGCTTGCTGAGGCACGTCCAAACTATTATTCATCATTTATTTTTCTTATTTCTCTTATATCAGTGTTTTTATGTCATCAAAAATCCTCACTGTATTTTGCTCCAAACACACAGGGCCTAGTACTCAACCACAAGATACAAGAAAACCCTGTCCTGTTGGAGATCGTGTGGCTCGGCTACGGAACCCTGGTTGCCAAATTCTGTGTAGAGTTGCAAAATTTTGTGTAGCGAATCACGCTTGCCCTGCTAAACTTGTGCGGGTGTGTGTCACTCCTTTGTGTTTTAATGTAGCTGATATTTAGTTTGATAATTAGTAAAATAACAGATTTTTTTCTCGTTGCTCCGTCAGCCTATCCATGAGCTCGCCTTCGAGGCTCTAAACAAAGGCAACGTAGAGGAGATCACTATCGCCTTGAAGGTCCTTGGCAACGCCGGACATCCTGCTAGCCTTAAACCCATCATGAAGTTCCTGCCTGGTTTTGGGAGTGCTGCTGCTAACCTGCCACACAGAGTTCACAATGATGCCATCTTGGCCATGAGGAATATTGCAAAGAAAGAGCCCAAGATGGTGAGCTGTATTTTTGACTCCTGACAGGATAAAACCCTCACATGTACAGTGTCTAAAACTTTCGTCTTTTGGAATTAGATCCAGGAAATCGCTGTCCAGTTGTTCATGGACAAGGCTCTTCCCGCAGAGCACCGTATGGTTGCTGCTATTGTGTTGTTTGAGACCAAAGTGCCCATGGCTCTGGTGACCACTCTGGCCAATGCCCTGCTGAAGGAATCAAATATGCAGATTGCAAGCTTTGTCTACTCTTACATGAAGGCCCTCACCAGAACCACTGCCCCTGACCTTGCCTCAGTGTAAGAACTAAAAAAAAAAAAGAAAAAAAAATCGTTGTAATATGTGTCATTCCTGTAACCACTAAATTGTTGTTTTTCCTCCAGTGCTGCAGCCTGCAATGTCGCTGTGAAGATTCTCAGCCCCAAATTTGACAGACTGAGCTACCGCTTCAGCAGGGCTCTTTACATTGACGCCTACCACAGTTAGTAGAATAAAAAAAAAAGTTAATGATCACTCAAATCTGGAGAGAAAGTGTTGCTTGATGACTCATTGTTGTTTCTCGTTAGGCCCCTCTTTGATCGGTGCTGCTGCCACTGCCTTCTACATCAACGACGCTGCTACTGTTCTGCCAAAAGCCATGTTGGCCAAAGTTCGCACTTACCTGGCCGGAGCTTACGCTGACGTTCTTGAGGTATGAGATTTGATATTAAGCCCTACAGACAAATTCAATAATGAAATGAAGAACTCCAGCATCAATACTTACATGTTAAGCAGCTTCTAAGCTCAGTGACTTTTTTAAAACTTTTACAGGTTGGTGTAAGAACTGAAGGAATCCAGGAAGCCCTTCTGAAAATGGAGGAGGCTCCAGCGAACACTGACAGACTCGCTAAGATGAGACAAGTCATCAGGGTTGTAAGTTCAAGAAATCCCTTCAGTTTTAAGGAGTGCTTTACGAAAACCCGGAAGATCATTTTGTCTATAAAAGTGTAAATTCCTGACTCTCGTTTTTCATTTTTCTAACAGCTTTCTGAGTGGAGGGCTCATCCCAATCGCCCACCTCTGGCCTCTGTGAATGTCAAGTTGTTCGGACAGGAAATTGCATTTGCCAATGTGGACAAAGCGATCGTCGACCAGCTCATTGAGGTACACGTTCTCCCAGAGATCCTGCAGGTGAAGTCAAATTCAGCATTGACAGAGAAGCCGATGTGTTATTCCTGCCCTCACAGATGGTCAGTGGACCTTCAGTTCATAGGTTCGGCAGGAGGGCGTTGGAGACTATGCTGTCTGGGTTCGCTCTGCATTATGCTAAACCAATGCTGCTGGCTGAGGTCCGCCGCATCATTCCCACCGCCGTCGGTCTGCCCATGGAGCTGAGTTTCTACACCGCTGCTGTGGCTGCTGCGTCTGTTGAATGTAAGTCCTGCGAGTGTGATTTGAAATTAAAAACAAAGGAAATGTCAATATTCACTCCTTTAAGCATACTCAAATTGTATTTGCTGTTTTATTTAGTCCATGCCAGCGTGAACCCACCTCTGCCTGCGGACTTCCATGCCACTCAGCTTCTTAAATCTGACATCAACATGAGAGCTGCAATTGCCCCGTGGTAAACAGGCTGTTTTTTACCCTCTCAGCAGCCATTCAATTACTCAAACCAATATAATTCAAATGTATTTTTCCCCCTGCAGTGTATCGATGCACACCTATGCAGTTATGGGTGTGAACACCGCCCTGGCCCAAGCTTCCCTGCTGTCAAGAGCCAGAGTTCACACTATTGTTCCTGCTAAGATAGAAGCAAGAATCGATATGATCAAGGGCAACTTCAAACTTCAGCTCCTGCCTGTGAAGGGCATCGATAAGATCGCATCCGCCCTGTATGTACGCCTCTGAGTTCAGTCAAATTCAGCAAACACCTAAGAAAGGTCATTTTTTTTAAACAGTTACTTTTAAACGTTTCCTACAGCATCGAGACTGTTGCAGTCGCAAGGAATGTTGAAGACCTGGCAGCTGCTAGAATCACACCAGTGATCCCAGCTCACGGCGTACTTCATCTGTCGCATCATACATCTTCCCACGAGGCGTCCGTGTCTACTGAGATTGTGAGTGAGATTAACTGGTGTTTATTTCAACAGAAACTCTTCCACAATCTGAGGATGTTGGCGTTACTTTTTGTGCTTTTTACAGTCTGCATCCTCCGAGATCCTGTCTGCCCTGCCAAGACATGTTGTCAACAAAATGTCTATTCCCAAGGCCTACGAGAAGAAAATGTGTGCAGCGATCGCCACCTTTGGAATCAAGGCCTGCACTGAAATTGAATCTCAAAACGCAGCTTTCATCAGAGACTGTCCTCTCTATGCCATCATCGGCAGACATGCTGTCATGGTCGAGGTTGCTCCAGGTAAATGTAGTCAAATTGAATTGCCCGTTTAAGATTATTGGCCGAGTTGCTACAAAAATTGTACGTAAATTAAATTTAATTTCAGCTGAAGGACCAGTCATTGAGAAGATTGAGATTGAAATTCAGGTCGGAGACAAAGCAGCGGAGAAGATCGTGAGGGTGATTAACATGAGCGAGGAGGAGGAGGTTGTCGAGGATAAGAACGTCCTCATGAGACTCAGGAAAATCTTGATTCCTGGTTTGAAGAACGCCACAGCAGTTTCTTCTTCTAGCTCCAGCAGTTCACGAGCAAGCAAATCCTCTTCCGTGTCATCAGCATCATCATCATCATCACGTTCATCCTCCCACTCCTCTCAACGCCACAGCAAGGTGGTTGATGCTGCTGCACCCATCTCCAAGAGATCCAAGAGAGTGAGCAGCAGCTCTTCCAGCAGTCACTCAAGCCGTCTTTCAAAGATTTCCAGCTCCAGCCGCTCCAGCCGCTCCAGCCGCTCCAGCCGTGTGTCCAGCAGCCGTTCATCCCTCGGCTCCAGCAGCAGCTCCAGTGCCATGTCCAAGGTGAGATGAAACTCCATCTCTGGTCCATTAACCTCAAAGTAAAGTTTCATGTTCAGTATTCAATCAAGTCTTTTGTTTTGCAGCAAGAACAGTTTGACATCCAGTTCACCAAGAACCACATCCATCAGGTAACTATAGGACACTGTGGTACAAACTCTGTCACAACAACAAACAACGGATCAATGAATGTTTTCTCCCGTTCTGCAGCATCCCATCTCAACCGTCCATTCACACAGCAGTGCCTACAGCTTCGAAGCGATCTACAAAAAGGCAAGCCATCAGAGCAAGTCACTAGTTATATGAGTTAAACCTCCACTAACTCTCTCTCTCTCTCTCTCGTTCACACCATCAGGCCAAGTACCTTACTAACACAGTTGCTCCTGCCGTGACTGTTCTGATCCGTGCTGTGAGGGCTGACCATAAGGTGCAGGGATACCAGATTGCCGCCTACCTGGACAGAGCCAACGCCAGGCTGCAGGTGATTTTTGCCAACCTGGCTGAGAATGATCACTTCAGAATCTGCGCCGATGGTGTGATGCTGAGTACCCACAAAGTGATGGTAAACTAAATTTGACTTCAGTAACACAAACATTCGAATGCTGCACGTACACAAGAAACCCATCAAATGTTGAATGTCTCCCAGGGCAAGATCGCCTGGGGTCTGGAATGCAAACAATACGAGACTGAGATCACTGCAGAAACTGGTATGGTGGATCAGCTGCCAGCACTCCGCCTGAAGCTGACCTGGGACAAACTTCCAAGGAGCATGAAGCCCTACGCAAGAGAGTATGTCAAAAAGTAACCAATGAACATTAGATTCCACCGAAAGAGAAATAACTTCACGCCGTTTTGTCCCCGCAGCATCTCTGACTACATTTCCCGTATTGCTCATGAATTTGGCGTGAAGATGGCCAAGAACAAGAACATACCGAAACAGATCAAACTGACTGTGGCCGTCGCTTCAGAGCACAGCGTGAATGTTGTGCTGAAAACTCCAACGGTTTGTTTTGGTTTTTTAGTTTTCTATCATCACAGTATTACAGTCTAAACAGAAAGTCAAGTAAAAACTCTTTTTCTACTCAACATTCCAGAGAACTGCTTACAAACTGGCTCTGGGTCTTCCTGTGTCTCTGCCCATTGGAAACACTGAAGCTGAGCTGCAGATCTACCAGGACAACTGGGTTGACAAAATCATGCACCTGATCTCCAAGGCTAATGCAGGTGAAAACACTCAACCGACGCCGCCCTCACACTGTTATCAATACAACATTCACACAAATGTGTTGCTCATTTGTTTTTCCTGTATCCTCTGCGCTCCAGCCGAGTGCTCTCTGGTCAAGGACACAATCATCACATTCAACAAAAGAAAGATCCGGACCCAGCTGCCACACTCCTGCTACCAGGTTTTGGCCCAGGACTGCACCCCTGAACTCAAGTTCATAGTCATCCTGAAGAGGGATCAGATGCAGGAGAAGAACCAGATTAATCTGAAGATTGCAAACATGTATGATGTCGTTTTTTTATATCTGAATTGTATCAAATGCTGCCGGCAGGTAGCTGTGAACTCTGTTTTCCTTTGGCAGTGACGTTGACATGTATCAACGGGAACATGGTGTAGTGTTGATGGTCAATGGAGTGGAAGTTCCTCTCAGCAACCTGCCCTACCATCATCCCACAGGTTTCCTTCTTCTCAGATCAAGTATTAACAGTATAACTAATTGTTTATTTGAAAATATATTTCATGTTTCATGTATTATCATTCAATATCAGCTAAGATCCAGATCCTGCAGAAGGAGGAAGGCATTGCCCTCCACGCTTCAGGCCATGGTCTCCAGGAGGTCTTCTTCAGTCCCACTGAACTCAAGGTGATGCAAAACAGTTTTATAAATCACACACTTTAAAACCTCCCCAAAATATTGATAGATTGAAGTCATTTTTTTCTATCTATTTCAGGTTAAAGTTGCTGACTGGATGAGGGGACAAACTTGTGGCATCTGTGGAAACGCTGACGGAGAAATCAGACAGGAATTCGTCACTCCTAACCAACGGGTGACCAAGAACGCAGCCAGCTTTGCGTACTCCTGGGTTCTGTCTGGAAAGAGCTGCCGTGACGCCACCGGTAGGTTTTGGTTGTTTTTAAATGTTTGATCATTTTCTCACAGCCTAATATCGGGAAGACGACGATGACATGAGTGAAAATGCGTTTTAGAATGTCACATGAAGCTTGAGTCTGTGAAGCTGGAGAAACAGATTATGGTTCACGGTCAGGAGTCTAAATGCTACTCTGTGGAGCCTGTGCTTCGCTGTCTGCCAGGCTGCATGCCTGTGAGGACCACCACTGTCTCCGTTGGCTACCACTGCCTTCCTGTCGGTAAGTTAGCATTTACAAAAAAAGACAAACAGGAAATTAGGGAGTAACTTCAGAAGCCTGACTGACATTGACATTGTGTCCACTACAGAGGCCAGCATGAATCGCCCTGAGAAACTGAGCATCATCTCCCAGAAGAGCATCGATGTGCACGAAACAGCCGAAGCTCACCTGGCCTGCCGCTGCACCCCGCAGTGTGCCTAAAACCACAGCCACCTGGAAATTCATGTCTTACATATGGTTTTTGTGCCGTTGTTTGTAACTATTCAATAAACTAAGAAGCAAATGAACATTTGTCTTTGTCAAGTGTTTTAAAAAATGGGTTTGATTAAAAAAATAATAACTGAGACAGTATTGACTCACTAGTTAATATCTTCAATAATGTCTTCATTCAAAAGGTTTAATATATATTTACTAATAAACAGATTGTGATCTACCGGTAGATCACAATCTGTTTATTCTCTATTTACTAATAAACAGATTGTGATCTAACGGTAGATCACAATCTGTTTATTCTCATGAGACGATCAGGGGTTTGATGGTTATATTCCTGGTCTTTCTGCATGGATTTCCACAGAGAGAGTGTGTGTGTGTGTGTGAGTGTGTTTCTGCCACAGTCTTAAAACATGTTTCATTAGACTAATGTTGTTCACTCTGTGATTGTGTGCCTAAATGGTCATCTCTCTCTGTACTGTATGTGGCTAAAAACAAAGATAAAGTTTTTATTGGGTGGATTTTTTCCACCCAATAAAAACATGAAAATAAACAGTTCCTTTGTAGTTTTTTTAATCAATAGGAAAGTGAACTCCTTGTCACTGTGACACACCACTGCACCACTGCACCACCACAAGTGTGACCTCTGCTTCTAACCCATCACCAAAGTCAGCAGGGGGAGCAGTGAGTGGGGCCGGTGCCATGCTCCACTTATCCACCGAGTCGCCACTCCCAATAGCTGATATTTCAATGAATAAATACATATTCATTTATTTATTAATGACGTATATGTGTGTGTTCTGGTCATCTCAGCAGGACTAAACAGACTGCCTTTATAAGAAAGACATTTTTGGTGTGGGGGGTGTCGACCCGGATGAGACGTAGAAGGATGTTTGCAGCCAAAGAAGTATGGAAGTAGAAAGAAGAATAAGAGAGAGAACAGTGACCTTGTTGACCTTGATCCCTCATGTGTGGAGAAGGAAAGTACAGTGGACCCCTTAGATACCAGCTCCCCGAAATACTGTACGAGTCTGCAGCTGTTACAAGAAGGAAACATCTATTTACTCCATTTTTCCACCCGAATTTGAAAATGTGGCCCCGACACTCTGTGGAGATCTCTCCCTCACTGTCTGCTTAGTCATTTTACCTAATTTTATAACAATAATATAAAATCTTCTTAATAATCATTATTTTATATTTTATATTTATATTTAATACATTTGTTTATATCTGTGTTTGTGATGTTTAGATGGGGGGGATTGGTTATATTTTAATGATGAAAATTGGATCGACACAGACTTCTGTTGTAGAACAGATTCAAGTGGGGAGTCAGACTGTAAAGGGATATTACACAGTAACTTCTCTTGTGAAAAGCTGAACTGACTTCACAGGTACGCCCTCCACTGGGCGGCAGGTTTACTTTGTACCTGTGAAATCAGTTTGAGAAAATATTTGTTCAGATCAGTGGGCAGCATTCTTGGCCATGTTGTATTTGATTAGAGATGTATTTCTGATATCCTGGCAGAGATAAGAGAGGCTTAAAACTTACAATGTGTTGTTGACCTTATAAAAGAACATGTAGGAAGTCAGCGATGGAAGAGAAATAAATTAGTAAAATATTAGTGATTCATTTGCTATAATAAATCTAAGATAAATAATAACAATCTAAGCTGAATAAGACGGACTTTAAAGAATTGTGTTAATGATCCTCTACCAGAGATGAGTATGGGCCTAATATTTCACTACTAAAATTTCACCTGGTTCCAGACCTGGCAAACAAAATTGCAGACGTTTCAGCTCTTCATCCAAGAGGCTGACCACCTGAGAGACACTTTCTTCTGGGTGTTTTTGAACTGAAACTGTGGTCTTGAACTCAGGACGATGTTATATACTGAGAGATGGTTTCTTCAGATTGACGTAGAGGACCATCTGTCTTCTCTGGTGAGGACATGTACGTCCTCATCCACAATAGAGTGTCCTTCGTCCTCCAGATGTAGATAAACTATTTTTTTTAAACCTTTCCAAAAACATTTGCACAAGTATCACATTTCACTTTCTGTGACTATAAAAAAATACAAGGAAATAAAAGGGATATGAAAATAAACTATTGGACACGTGTGTTTCTAAGACAGCACATCTGTGTGTAATAAAGCTGAACTAAAAATCTTTAAAAATAGTTTGACAACAAAGTTTCTGACTCTAAACTAAACTATCTGTACTTTATTGCATTAAATGTGGTTGGTGTTTTGCGTTTGATGTTTTTTTTTTTTTTTTCAGCAGTGCTGTGTGATGTGTTAATGGTCATCTGACCTCATCGTTCTAAAATGTCATGATATCACAGGTGGTCAGTCTGACCACAACAAACACAACAGACAAACAAACAGGTCTCCGGTGTTGACATCTGTGTGCTTTGAAGTTTTTTTTACATTTCAGTTCAAGTTATTACACAGAATTCTGGGAAATCTTTTTATATAAGTTATAATTAATGATGAACATTGAAGAATGTTTCGTACGGTGTTTTATGGTTTAGTTGGTTTAGGAGAGTGGGGTTTTCTTTTTGCAAAAAAAAAAAACTTTTTCATAAAAATGTTCTTAAAAGCAAACACTTGTTACTTGTTTCAGCTGCTTGTTAAGTACAATGAGCTGAAAACGGTTGTTGAAATAGTGTTAGAATTGTAAC